GTATATGCTGAGCAGGAGAACATTTAACGCTGTTATTTATCCGTTGAAGGAATAAAAAAATCAAAGTTATGACAAAGTCAGAACATTAGAACCCGATTCAGTTTCTTCTGCTCAACCAAGACAAATGGACAAGACGTCACAGCCAGCGCAGGAGGTGAGTGAGCTCCTTCCATAAACCATGCTCTCTGTGTTTTCACTTCAAGGCTGCTTCACTTATTTCAGGCTCAGCTGTGATTAACTTGACATTCGTATGCTGACTTTACATATGTATTGAAATCAGTATCTGAACAATGTCATAAATGAAGGTAGCAATTAGGAAACCAGAAGAAAAAAGAAACAGCACGGGGAAATGTAAAGATGTTAAAACATCTGAGATATTTCCTGTGAATGTCACATGACAGGAGGAATGGAGAACTTTGATGTTAGCAACTTCACTTTTACTTCCTGTGGTAAGAATTATATGACAAGTGCACACCACTTTAGTATTGAGTCGAGGGGAGGGGTGTGTGTGCGCATTTCTTGACTTGAGGTAATGTCATGTGTAAAGACATGAAATGTACCCGCAAACATATCGCTCGACTATCAGCGACTGCAACTTCCTGCACACCTGTCTCAGCTAGCAAAGTATTTCCTATTCTGTCCAGGCTTTGCTGGCTTCCATTGACAAATGATCTACTTTATATGGTATTTATTGTAGGATGATTCTAAATGGTATCCTGGGGGCTACTCCATTACTATAAGCTGAACAAAAGCATGTGTTCCATCAGGGTGTTTATGTCTCAACAATGGAGTTTCAGCATCAGAGCAGGCGCAGACAGAAGTGCTGATCAACCCTTAGGTACTTCTCCCACTTCCTCTATCGTCCAAACATTAGTTAGCAGTCAGTCAGTACTTTGTGATAACTTGATCAAGCAAACTAGTCCGATAAAGTCAAAGTTCATATGATATCACAAAGCATGCGTCAAAGGGCTGTACTTATGATACAAACAGCAATGAGTAACATGAGCAAAACACACTAAAATGTATAGAAGTGAGATATAGCGCATTGCAAACGTAATAATTGGACACACACACTACATGCAATATACAAAAGGGAAAGCTGATAACTGTAATTGAGTATTTTAGGGCAGACTAAGTGAGGTTGAAGGCTGATGTGTTTTGAGTTTACTTTTGAAGTAGTCGACTGAGGCAGACTCTCAAACTTGAGTAGGAAGACGATTCCTGAGAAGCGGGGCTCGGTACCACCTTTTGTTTTTGGAATAGTTGGCAGTTTAAAATCGTAAAGCCCGAGCAGGCATGAGGAGTGACTAGAGGTGAAAAGTAGTACGGTGCAGGATCTTCAAGTCTGATCCAGCATGTACAAGGAGTCAACGTAATTAAATAAGAATAGGTTTTGGTTAATATCGTAGAAATAGTACAACCAACATTTTCGTGGTCAGTTGACAGGTATGAAAGAAAAATGGTGATTGTTGTTAGTTGTGATGATGACAACACACGTCAGCAGGGCTGTAAAGTGTTGCTGCAGCCCTGCCAGGAAGAGAGCGGACGCAGCTAAGAAGACGGATGGCTGGCTAGTTACCTCGTAGCTAGTCCTGTGGAGCGGCGGGGAGTGAGGCGGACTGTTAAGGGCACCACTGCACTCTGAAACCCATTATTTACAATGGCTTAGCAAAGCGTGGGCACAGCACACCGCTACTCAGATTATTTACTTTTAAATTTGAAAAGTACCAACACACCAATGTATTTATACTCAAATAAATGTCCTGCATTCAAAATTTACTGAAGTAAAAGCGCAATTATAATTTTAAAGTCACTTGGAGGAACTTTTAACTGGTTAGGAAACAGTCTCGATTTAATACTGATACCTCTTTATGACCTAGATAAGTAAATGAGAAGATTGTCTATTTCTATATAGTTATTCTTAATTCTGGTCGGTGCCACCTGGTCCAAAATAAGACAAAATCAAACGAATCCATCAGGCTCACCAGAAGAGGAGAGCTCAGCTCCCAGCAGCAGCGTCTCCTCCTCCAGGAACAAAGCTTCTCCTCGATTGATCCGCCGGTCCCCGCTGGGAGCCAACACCGACTTCACATTGCTGGAGGCCCAGGCCATATTGCTGAACCCTCTAACGGCGGCACGGCAGAACCAGAACCAGGTCTGAGCGGGATAGACTCCCACACACTGCTGCGGTAAAGTTAGAGGTTTTATAAAGCGACTCGGAAACTCTACCACTTTTGTCCACAGGGACCGCCAAAATCAACGCAAATTAAAATTCCTTGTAGTACCTTTAAGTAAGTAAAAGTAAAAGTACTCATTCTGCAGAAAAATGGACTGTGTGAGTGTTTATTGATATTTATTACATCACTGGCAAGTTATCCGCTTTATTGAACTGGAAGCGATAAGCCGAGGAAAAACACTGCAATTCTGTCATAAAAGAGTGTGTTCGTGATGGAGTCAGTGTAGAAATCACCTCCCGTATTGTGTAGTTACAGGCGTGGTCACTATGGCGACTGAGGCCATCTGTTCTTTGAAGTGAAAGATAAGCCAGAGGAAGGGCAAGTGTGCACAGGTCTGAAAGCACTGCAACGGCCACTAGCCAGAGGCCTCAAATAGCATTTGCATTTTGGTGGTCTGATGTGCTTTTTCAGGGCTTCATGTTCAGTGAGTCTTCATTTGTTTTATACCACTCGAAGGCCCCAAAATGACTTGTGTCTAACTCTACGCGTGGAGACTTTAAAGGAGAAATATACTTATTTGCTTCCTTTTTGAGAGTAAATTGAAGATGAAGATCAATATCGATGTTAAGTCTGAGGGTTGAGTACAGATCTGGAGTCAGGCAATGCTTGGCCTAGTTTAGCATAAACACTGGTGGAAAGGGGAAAAGCTAGCCTGGCTCTGTCCAAAGTTCAGTCCACACATTTAAAGCATCTGTAGCATGTTATTTGATCTTTACATAAGCATGGAAAAAAACCTACAGTTTGTGGTTGAAGGGGAGCTATGTGCTGGAACTATTTCTTGTCAAAGAACAGCCTGACTGAAGTGCTGGGTGGATGGATACTGGACAATTCCTGGAACTTAATTTGAGCACTGCTCGGGAGATGATACTTAATGAAAGTGCTAAATACTTTCAGGGCCATGTTCACTATACCCAGTTTATTCAAAACAAACATGAAACATAAAACTCACTTCCTGTACCACGGGTTTGTTACCACAGGAAAAGATCAATAACTGACTGAAAAGCAAATGTTAAAGCTTGCAGAAACTGCAAATTTCGCTAGTGACAAGAGCAGAAAACTGACAATGTTTTACAACTATAACAAACTGATATTACAAATACTTTACTTAATAACACGCTCCACTAACCCTGCATCCATGCATTCCACTTGTACACTGGTGGTTTATATTGCCGGGGAGTTTTCCCATAGGGCACCATCATGTCCTGTCATTTTGGTCGGCTATAAATAGCGGCCGTGTCTTCCCATGCAGAACTGATAATGCTCATATAAAGTTCATGCAGTTGACTATTCAAACCAAGCAACAACAGAGGCTCAGTGGCAGTAAAGGAATGGTGTCTGTATAGTGGTATCAGTGTCAGTGACCACGCTGACTAAGCCACGTTAAAACTAGACAGCATGAGCCTGACCACCAACTGTTTACATGAAATGCCCTCACTTTCTAAGTCATACAAAAATATGTGGGAATATACAGTATTGCAATTAAAACACTTTACACAAGTTTAAAGCTTCACTTATTATTTTTGCTACTTGTTTAGCCACAGACTGTATATGAGAAGTGGACGTAGTCATCATGACTTCCCCCATTGGTTTGTGGACTGACATTTTGAAGCCTTGAGTTCAGCAATTTCCCTGTCGCCATCTTGGATTATGGCCGACGCCATGTTGTTTTTTTTGCAACCAATGAACAGAAATTAGCATATTTGGATTGCGGAGGAGTGACGTAGAGATGCTGTATACGGCTCTGGTAACGGCAGCGACCTGTCAATCACAGTAGCCCCGCCCTAAAGCATACTCTGCTTTATGGTCTATGTGACTCTAAATGGACCATCATTTACTAAATGAACATCATGCTGTATTGAAGAAGACTTGAAACTAGAGATTGATACCATAAACTCATGTTTACAATGTTTACTGAGGGAATAAATCAAGAGAGAAGTAGAGTCATTTTCTCATAGACTTCCACAAAATCTGACTTCTTGTCACTTGGCTTCACTCGGCAGAACCGGAGGTTGCCGCCTGAGGGGGACAAAACATGTTGACACTACAGAATCACCAAAATCCAACATGGTTCGTCCTCTTCGGATCATGATTATCCACGGCAAAGATCTTGGCAACCTGGCCCCTATCTACAGTACTTGATCAATCATCTAATGACCAAATCACTCTGAGGAGCAGCAGCCTGATGAGGTGGATTTATCGCGTGATCTCGTGACCTCACGAGAATCCAGTTGCCGTGCAAGGAGGTGTTCATCCTCAGGGGACCAAAAGACTCCTATTGAAAATGTCTCTGAAACCCGTCCATTAGTTAAGACACGTTGGATCAAGAGTGAAGATTGTGACCCGACAACAGCACTAGATGAAAGGTCAAGAGGTCACCAAAATCATTAGGAACAGTTGCTGTTGGGATACAGATAGACATGTAACAGGCGTATTTCTTTTACGAGGAAGGTGGAAAACTAGACCACTAATTGACTTTATGCTTTGCCTCTTAATTAATATTTAATTTAAATCTATCTTTATTCTCCTTTCTCTCAGAATTTGGAGCAGCAACTGTCGCCGAACACCAGAAAGAGTTTCAGCTTCTCATCCTTCCGTGTTAAAAGTAAGACAGCGGATCATAAAATGCATATTATACAGACAACACTTGCATCTCTATTAGCCATTTACTCATTGATGACTCTTCATTGTGTCGATGTGAACCTCCGCAGAAAGGAGCAACAGTTCTGATGACGAGGCATTTACACGGCGGAGAGGGTTGCTGTCATTTTCATCAGTACGGGAGACATCGAGACAGGGTAACTGATGCTCTTTCGTAGTTCCCCTACAGTCTGTCTAAAAAATGATCACAGACAAAAACGTGACAGATCAGTTTCCTTATGAAGAACACAGACTGGCCAAACCTTGTGGGTTCTTTTTCATTTCTAATCCTAGAGTCAGTCCCAGATGAAGATGGTGCCTCGCAGCTAAACCGTACCCAGGACCAGGTGAAGCGGACAGGTATGTACGAAGGGACAATGTGAGCATTGAGTGGACATGGCAAAGTGTGGAATGCTAAATGGAGCCTTAGCTAATGGGCATCAACTGTTTCATTCAGGCTTTACAATCACTGGCTCATTCACCAGCTGCTTGAGTTAATGCAAAATGAATTTTAGACACAGCATGACAGCATGCTGTCAGCTCACCATCCCACCCTCCTTCTTAAGTGCTCAGAGTTTGGCGCTGCTAATTAAACTAAGAGTTAATGTTCATGCACTTGTTAGGGGGACTAGTTCACCGGCAGAATCCTTGTTGCCGCTTCGAGTTCCCTCAAAGAGCAAATGCCCCTTACCCTTCTGTATTGTGTTGCTTTCTTAAAAATCAAATTTACATACTACTCATTTGTACCAGCCAAGACATTCTAAAACACGTGTCAAACTCAAGGCCCGCCACGTCATTTTATGTGGCCCGTGAATCTGCCAGCAAAAAAATAAATAAAAAATAAAAAATAAAAATATGAAAAGTTAGACTTTTCATATTTGCGAACATGGCGAAAATATCCCCATGTTCGAAATTATGAGATAGAAAGTCGAAATTGTGAGATAGAAAGTCATAATTATGAGATAAAAAGTCATAACTATGATTTTTAATATCACAATTGTGAGATAGAAAGTCCAAATTATGAGATACTTTAACACAACAGTCATAGAAGCAGCTCTTCATAGGTTATCCTATATTTGACATATAAATGGATTGTGAGTATATTTAAAACGTGGCTTTACAACAGATGAAATACTTCAATTGTGGGATTGTACTCAGCAAACGCAACCTTGAAAGGATTTCAAGCAAGAAGCAGCTCTGGCATAGAAATAATAAAACCGATGTGGCAACCTTCATTGAACAGCAACTGGAAACATCTGGTCAGTGTTATGGTTACAGATGGATGCACCAAAAGTGCCATGGGGATATTTTTATCTTATTTTGTATTTTTTTTGCTGCCGGAAATGGGCTTCCATATAAAAGGCATATGATTGTCTTAAAATTAAAGTCTATGCTGCTTTACAGTGTACAGTGACCATGTACCACATCTCCCACAATGCATGTTGATTTTGTGACCCGCGAGATGATGGCGTCCTGCCACTAGATAACAGTTTTTCCATATCGGCGTTTAACTTTGTCAGTTAAATTTTATTTCACACTGTGATGGTGAAGGGGGGGGCTGGTATGGGTGGTTGAGAGGCGTGGGCCCCTGTTGAGCTGGGGGATTGGGTCAGGACTTTCCCACTGTCTATCAAAGCATTCAGTAAAAAGTATTTAATTTGTCTCCGCTTGCAGAAGATAAAAGCAATTTGTCATAAGCAGTTGAAAGCATTTGTTCAAAGATGGTCAGGGTTTCAGAAAGGACCATTTTTTAAGGTAATAGAATAAAAATTGGCAAAGCGCCTGCGACATTTTCAACATGGAATGACATACTGATTCATTTGAAAAGGGGTTGGAGAGAATAATACATTAAAAATATCAACATTTTTGAGATTAAAGGTATGAATTCGTGAACTCACATCTTTGCAGATGTCCGAGATTAATCACATAAATCCAATAAAGGCTTCATACAAAGTAGTATTACAAATGATGGACTATTAAAGGGGCATTCATAATTTGACATGTCATGGTCTTTTTACTAGTCAGATGAAGCTTAGCTTCCTAAAGTCTGTTATAGTATACATTGTATACTGAGTAGGAAGTGTTATGACCATATTTTCAGATCTGCCTTCGCAAGTCCCCCAATTCTGTTAGAGTGCATTTGTATACCCTGGAGTCCAGACCATATCGTTTCCTCCCAGTACTATGGAGAACATCCGAAGGTTAGTTGGAAAATGTGCAAGCTATTAGCCCTTTGGAAACTGATGTGATCAGGTATTTGAAGGCTACTTCACGGATGTAAACTATATTGTACTGCTGTGGGTATTTCTCTATTTACAACCTGAACGTATAGTAAACAGCATTTTCAAGGGTCTTTACAGTCTTGTCAAAGTGGAAGAAAAGTCATGAAAGTACGTGTGATTCAGCTCCCTAACATTTACTGGGTTCGTATGAAGTTAAAAGTTATTCTGACCTGCTCTTACTCAAGGGGTTTGAGTCACTGTCTGCTGGTTGTTGCTTCACGGTTACAGCTGGAGGGACTTAAAGAACAACACGCACCTTTTTGTTTCTGTCGGCCTGTCGAGCTTCAACGACACCTTGTAGTTATTGTAACTTGACGTGTAACTAACTTGAATTAGTTTACACGTCGCGATTTCCCATACAGACAGAGTAAGAACAATAACTGCTGTAGTAGCAACATTCAACATTCAACATTAGGGAATTAAGGGGCGTTTTTGCGGACCTGACTTGAACGCAACACAACAGAGGACACCAGCGCTTGGGCACGCTCCAAGCAGTAGAAGCTGTTTCAGCCTGTGAAGCACGCGGATAGGGGCGGTGAGCGCGAGCCGGGGATACGGCGTATGTGCGGGAATGGAGACGGTAGAGTGCCTCTGCTGTACTACTGAGTTTGCGGACAAAAACAGCCGAGAGGACTGCGGTGTGAAGCAGATATGAGTGAAGCGGTAGTAAAGAGAAGAAAGGGGGGTCGACTGACGAACATCAGGAACAGATGGAGTGAGTAGCCTACTGCACACTATCCACTATGAATTCTGTGACTGACATAGTCTACGTAGATAGGACAAAAACAAAACCCCTGGAGAAGTTTACAAAATGATGACCTACCTTGCTGTTAAACGGTGTTTTGTTCACCGACTAACGTTAACACGTCAACCTGTTGGAGCGTGCGATGTTGACATGTCTCGCGCAAGTTGTAACATTATATCCGTGTGTTAAGTTGTCAACCACTTTAGTAGGTAAATACGGTGGACAAATATAATAAAATACATTATATCCGTGTGTTAAGTTGTCAACCACTTTAGTAGGTAAATACGGTGGACAAATATAATAAAATAAAGTGCATAAAACATGCTGAAATAATGCATAAACACGCCGAATGAGTTATGGACTCCAATGTAGCGCAGCGAGTTTAGCACCTCAAACGTCAGAACGTTAAATCCGCCTCTTTCTAAACGCAGTTTGGTATTTGGCAGCTGTCTGATATTGGAAGTTAAATAGACGTTTTATTTTCCGTAAAACAACGCTTTAGTCGTTCACTGTGTCAATCCAAAACCAGACTTCTGGCCATGACAAATGCACACTAGGGCACAATCCCAATGTCCCCTAAAGCCTTAAACCCTGAACCCTCAGGGACTTACTGACGTCATCTGTTAAATGGTTGAATGTGAGAGACTGTGAGGGCTTGAAATGGTGTAAATACGAATACGACAGCACTTTGCTGCACCATATCAAGTTCCCACGACAACATTGTTTATCTATTTAATACTTTGTACTCCCTGATTTGAACGTCTTCCAGGCTTTCGCCTCACGAGAGGAGAGGTTTTTGTTAAATCATTTTTTTCATAACTACTTCAATGACACAATGAAATGTTTGATGAATGTCTGTGTACTATAGTCTCTGCGTTCACGTGTTTATGTACCATCTTTAGTCTTTAATGTTTTTGTCTAAAGCTGAGCACCCATGTGCCCTCCTCTTTGTTTACCTTTTTTTTTTTAACATCTCAGGCTTCCACACTTCCCACTGGTAACCTGCGTGTTTAACCTCACATTGCTATGAATTGTGGGTAATTCCCTGAGAAATGTGGACTTACGGAAAGGGTTCATAAAGGGCTCAAAATGTCTGTGAGAGAGCCCTCCAACACTCGACCATTTGAAAGTGGGACAGAACTAGACCCTCACCTACTTTGCAGCCATGCGCCACCAAGTCCGTGAGTGTGGAGATTGGGCCTATAAAGTTACTTCAGCGTGGTGCCTAACTCGATGCCTTGAATCTTGACGTTTTATTCCACTAGCTCTTAGTTATTTAATGGATTCAATCTGATAATGTGGGTCACTTTGAAGCCCAGGGAGCTGACATGGCAGTCACACATGTCTCTTTTGTTGCAGTCCGTGTGAATCGCTGGTGTATTCAGAAGGATACCAAGCCACCGTTCACATCTGTAGTCCAACACCTACTCCCGCAGCATAGCCTGTGTGAGGCTCTTTATGGCTGGCTACATATTAAGCCAGGAATGTGGCTGTTGACACTGAAAAGGGATCCCCACTGGTGATGAAACAGCATTTTGGGAGCTACTGTCTGAATTTGGGACTTTTTGTTAGGACTGGACTGATAAATAAGTGGACAGATTGTATATGAAATCTACAGGTTGCAGGTTTTCTGAAGGAGAAATAGAATTTGAACAGGATTCAGGAAGTTTTTGTGTCGTGCACTAGTGACGGCTCCATTCCTTTTCCTATAGAATTGGTTGGAACATGTTCAGGAGCCTGAGGGCGGCAGGCTGTTGAACCACTTTTGTCTACACCCTCATAATAGCTGAACAGCAGCAGCAAATCTAGCAGTAGCATGTAGCTGAAGACAGGTTTGCTCTGATGTCATTATCGATGTCAAGAGTAATCTAATATAGATTTAGCTCTATAGTTAGTATGCTTCTTTGTCGCTGATTGAGTGCAAACCTGTTCAACTGCAAGGCGTTGGTGGGGAAACACTGGCGTTGCTATTGACACAGTGCAAACAGACTGAGGTTGAGTAAGGCGGACTTTAGGCTTAGATTAAAGGTTGTTGTTGTCAGGACCCAGATTGAAAGTGAAACCTGGACAATGTCTTTATTTAATCTCGTCCAGGATAAACTCGTCTCGGGCACGTTCAGCTGTACTCATTCATCATGTACTGTACTCATTCAGCCTTGTAACCGAACACATACGGGTATGTCCAAGTCAGTGATAAACACGAGGCCATGTTCAACGGCAAACCAGACATTGCAGTGACACAACCGCACACCAACAAGAATGCAGTTTGTGGTCCAGTGTTACCGGTTTTGTCATCGGGTGATCCACTTGGGATCAGAGCTTCTGTTAGTGTGTGGCGGTCTTCTCGTTACCAGCACAGTTCAACACGTTAAGCAGGATCTAACAACTTCTTTTTCCTAAGAAGGGCACATGTCCAACCCATATTTGCCCTCACTGGGCTGAACTGTGTGGTTCCTTTTTATAGAATACTGGTTGAACTGCATTGTCTCGTGTCGACACAATTATAAATGGGCTTTGGTTTCTTTGCACACAAATGATCCTATTTATAGATTGGTTAGGAGATATCCACCTGTGAAATTCCGGGTGTGTAAGAATTTACTGATACAAGTATATTTGTGTCTTTACTCAATTGGTCAGTGTCTTTGACTACATTCATTTATACTTCATCATATGAAAGTAAATTTAACAATCGGTACAATTTCGGTATGACATTCCTTGCTATAAAATTAATTTAAAAAATACAGGTCTACTCTGTAGATGGTTTCATGTGGCAAACAACAGTAATGCATCTCCAGACAATGTGGCTTCATAAAGAATCATTTCTCTCTTCAATGTGGACTAAAAATGCACGTCTTAATTTTGATGAGTTCACATAACATGAGATGCCTTATCGACTTTTATGTGGGCCAATTTCTAGCGAGGTATCGTTCTCTTTCTCTCCGTTCTCTCTTTCAGATGAGACCAGTTGAGAGATTTGCTCTTTGTTTGTCATGATTTCATTTCACACACTTGAGGTATTTCCCTCTTTGCAGTGGGAAGTCCGAGTGTGTTGATGGAGTTTCCCAAGTGAGGTTCAAATTGTTGAACTGAAGAATATTTTCTGTTCCAATGCTGGGTACAGAGAGTCAACCTCAGTAGTCCATCAGCACATGAGACACTTAGCGCTGCGTATTGTATCAGTCACTGCTCATTGAAAGCCCACATTTCAAGTACCTGCACAGTGCTCAAAGCTACATAACGTGCTTCTAAACTTCAAGCACTGCAAACATTTGATTTATTTCACTACTTAGATTAAAACAAATGAGTACATTTTCCAAAAATCTCAATGTGAACTAAATCAAATAAAAGAAATGAGACAGACACCCAGAAATACTTTTATTAAGAAGGTAATTGAACAGCATTTCCATGGCGACGTCGTCACTTGTACAAATGAAATGGTAAAATAAGTTCCTGTGTAATACCCATAAATCTGGCTGGGCTCATTTTTCATACGTGAAAGTTGTTCGATGTCATGCTTGGGGATTCAGCCTCTTTGTGATTAGAAAGGAAACTCACATCTCAGTCAGGAATGAGCAGCGCTGGAACCAGACTGGACTTAGTCCGACCTCGTGTTCCTTATGAAACTAACACATCCAGGGTCAGTTTTCTTTGGCTTCTCAAAGTCTTCCTGACAGTTTCTCTTGTCTGTTGTCCAGGTGAGCAGCCCAAAGATGACCTCATCTCTGATGTGGCTGGGAAACACGGTGAGTACAGTAGCTGGAGACACGTTTCTTTTGACTGTACAGATAAGAGTTTCTTAAATCCATTTACCCTGCATAGTCTAGTGAAAGGTTTTAGGTCCAATCACTCTTCAAGAACTAGAATAGATCTTTATTGTCATTGTGCTTAGAAGAAGGACAATCTGTTTAGTGGTTCTTAGGCAGTGTGCACTTGTGACTAGTGTAATGTTCATTAATATAACAGTTAGTATGATATGATAGTAAAGAGTGGAGCGCAAATAGTCCACAAAAACTCTGTCTTTGGAGTTGGGTGGAGCGATGTGGCCAAAATCTCCTATCTCGATATAGGTCATGTCATTTCTCAATCACGATATATATCAGGATAGAGCATGTTTTCTGATCATTTAATAATTCTGTATGAAACAAGCACATGGTAAAGCCTATTTTTATTTACTCCTGTGTGAATTAAATACTCGACAAATGAGAAGCACTAGGTATTTTCTCTTTTTATTTAGAACTTTAGTGCAAATTAACAGTTTCAAGTGAAATTATAAGTAAAAAAAAAATGAATATATATAGACCAAGCCTATATTGCCATCTATATTATAAAGAAATATAAAAAATGATATACAGTAGACATATTTATATTGTGTTGCCTATTTATGTCATCATATTGCCCTGCTTTGGAGTATTTACTGCCCGTAGGCTTGAAGAGGAGAGCAGCTGTTACAATAGATTCTAGTGACAAGAAAAAAACATTAACAGGCACTAGTTATGGCTGTGCAATATATAGATATTGTGAAATGAAACTTGATATCGTAATAGGGCTTAAGTATTGTTTCTTCTTTTAAAAGCTGCATTACAGTAAAGGAATGTAATTCTTTGAACTCGCCAGACTTTTCTAGCTGCTCTGTTATCTGCCTTTACCACTTAGCCATTATAAATATTCTGTGAAAGCACCAATAGTCAACCCTACACTAGTTGCAATACTGATATCGGGGTATTTATTATGTATTTATAGTGTCACTTGAGTCCAACCTGAGCAATCAGCCAGGCCACTCAAACCCTTTAGTTGCTTGGCTTTAAACTATCAGCGGGAGTGAATGCTGTTGTGTGAAGGCTCTCAGTACTGAGCAGCTTCTGCTTCTGTTTTCTGCAGCAACCCTCCCATCAGGTGAAGATGAAGGTGGACGACAAGGGGCCCTCAATAGGTTCAGTGCCATGTGGTCCTCCTTCCGCAAGGGCAAAAGAGATAGTGAGTATTACATTACATTACATTGACACATCAGAGAAAAACAATTCACTTTTTTTCCTTTTTTTTTTGCATTGCAAGTACTTCCAATTTCTTGTTCACTGTTACCTCGGTGCCCTGAGTGTCAGACCAGAGAGTGGAGGAGATGGTGCTGGCCGTTGGATCACACTGTGGTTGGGGGTTAAACACCGTGTGATGTTTTCTAGTGAGGGTGTAGAGTAGAGTAGAGTAGAGTAGGGTAGGGTAGGGTAGGGTAGAGTAGAGTAGAGTAGGGTAGAGTAGGGTAGGGTAGAGTAGAGTAGAGTAGCCATTCTGAACACACAGTGAACAGACATGACGAACAGTGTTGAGCTGTTGTGATCAGAGTTCTGCTGCAGACACCAGGGGATTTCCATCAGGCTCCTCATTTCCCTGAGAGAATCTCTGTGGTTTAGGTTTGATACTGAGGGAAATGAAAACAAAACAAACTACGTTGTTGTTATTCCCCACCAAGCAAACTACCTAAAAAGATTTATAAACTGCTATTGCTATTTTACTAAAACTGCACTCGTGATAAGCTACCAGCCCGACAGCCTCACTTCAAAGGAACAGATTTTTCTGGAACTTATCATCACTGCACACCCCAAACATTTTGTAAGGCAGATCAGCCTACTGATCATAAAACTATACATAGGCCAAATTTGGGAGTATTTGTGCATGTGCAAGTGTGGTAGGAGATGCTTCAGCAGGCCTAAAAACACACAGACACAAGGCTGCCAGCCTGAGAAAAAAAGCCCCTTGCTGGGGCTCTTTTATTTTCGACAAAAAGGGAGGAATGCAGCAGAGAACACGTGAACAGCCTGGCAGCCAGTGGAGAAGACAGGATGAAGCTGGGCTGTTGGAATAGGCTGGATACTGGTCTCTGAGCAGAGCCGGAATCAGTAGAGTTGTCTGGGCCAACATCTGTAAGCAAACATTTGTTCAAGGATTCAAAGGATATTTATTGTCATTATGCAACACAGGGATACACAACCAAAGTCAGCTGTAGCACATTTTCAACACAACAAACACATGACAAACTAAACTAAAACTGTAGTACTTTCCTGTAGTGCATTCTTTTCATTTGCATCATAAGGAATGTAAAGAGCAGCAACAGAAACTATTCTCTGGTCAGATAATATGGCTGACATCTTCACATTAAAAACTCTACATGAGGAAAAAGACATTGTCCATCAACTGTGACTGTGTTTGAGCACCAAGCATCATGATGTGAACACAGAGTCCTCCTCTCAAGTTCAGCTTGATCCTGGTCCACGATGGATCCAGGTCTCTGTGAAGATGTGGGTTCAACAGTCACAAGCTCCCAGTGCTTTCATCCATCTTATTTTTCTGCGACTGAACTAGTGGAGTAGCCTCAGGTCCTAGCTGGGTTAGCTTAGCTTCCATCTTGGCTCTCCTCCCTCCCTGTTTGGTGGCGTTTGGTCCGGCAGGTCTGGCTGGTTGGTCGGCCGTGGAGCAGTGATCGTCTCAAAGTCCGCTGCTCTTAATCCCCACGCTTCCTTTTGTGATGAATGTCTTCTGTCATCTGCTATGAGTGATGAACATGTAAAAAACAACAAATAGACAAAAATGTAGCAAAATTCATGGGAGCTACCATGCGCAGCATGTGCATGCGTCACCGTTGCCATAGCAGTTGTTGCAGACACTGGGAATAAATTATGGAGTAGAATCAGAAGAATGAGAAATTCTATCCAAAGAGAGGATAAATATAGTTATATCCAACAGTTGGCATAGTGGATGTTTAGACATCCAGCCTCTGACTCCTCTTGGGCTGCAGCCAACCAAAGAAAATCTTCGTCAACTTAAATTTTTGGTGCTCCGCCACCGATTAGTCGATGGGGAAAAATAAATCTAAATGATATCTCCAGATGAACTACAAAGACAGAGATGAGCGCCGCTGTGCTCAGTTCAGGAGCAGCTACAGACAGAAAGCTGTGCAGAGTGATCTCAGCCAATATATTACCTTCACTGCAAGAATGACCTCATTGGACAAACCACAGTGTCGTACACCTACAAACTGTGCTGGGGCCAACAACATAGAGTGAGTCACAATGTCAAATTCATAAATATCAAAGCACCTTATGAACACCCTATGAACCTGTCATGATAGTGGGATCCACATTGTCAGTGAGGTTTTCTGAGTGAGTGCAGTCTTTGATGACTCGTAAGATGAGGAGACACTGAATGACTACATGCAATATGGTGATAACTGACCTTCGCTGTGTCCTGCCCTTCTAAATGGCCAATCACAGCGTAGCATCGGCCAGCTCTGACAAGGGGTCCGACATCAATCTGTCTCTGCTCCATGCAACTGTTTCAGATGTTCTTCATTTTCAGGCTGGTTTCGTGGATTTGGATCTAGTCCTGGTTAAACGTGTCATAGTGATACTTGTTACACTGAGAGGTGGTAAGAAGTTATGAGTCTCTAAAATGTTAGGTTTCTCAGTTAAAAACCTGCGGAGCTAACAATAGCAGAGTACGCTAGCACATCATTAACTAGCGTTAGCACTTCTATGCTAAGCTAGCTACTGAAGGTATCCTGAATGTATACACATGCTGCTTTGGCTTTTTAATGATTTCATTGTCTTCTGTCTCCAGGTGAGGTGGTGGTTCACTTTTACACTGTTATCTGTAGCTTTAGCTTCTATCTTTATCTTTTCAACCTTTTTTAACTGCTGAATCAGTTTGACATCCTGGATACATCCTTTAGACAAATATTGAAGACACTCCTGTCTGCTTCTATCTGGAATCCCCGTTTAGTTTATGAATATATATCCCTGAATATTTCTTCAGGGAGTGCAGTTTGTGACATTGTGTGCTCAATGGTAGCTCTGACAGCTAGATGGAGTAGTGGAATTTTTGTACTTGAGTAGGAAGAAATCATTTAAAGGAATAGTTCAACCTTATGGGAAGTACACCTTTCAGGGGGGATCGTGTCCAGAATTGGAATTGGAATGAACTACTACTTGAAAAGAAAAAGAAAGAAAGTGAGCAAGTGGAGAAGTATCATTGTGTCCCTTCTTTGAGGATATGTTTATAATAATTTAGACTGTGGTCTTTTCTCCCGAGGAGAGCAAAGGGAGGAGAGGACAAAAGCCGGGGCTGGAGCATAGCTGAGACCGACCGAGTCCTGTTAAGTTACCGCTGATGAAAACCCAACATTTACTGACCCGGCTGCTTCAAAATAAAAGCTTTTAAATCAAAAATAATAGGGGACTTTTATTGTGCAGAATTTGCTTTGACATGCTATCCAATAAAAAACAGTCTACTGATACTGCAGGGAGGAGGAGAAAGCAGCAAAAGTAACGTAGAATTTAAAGGAAGCAAAATGTGTTTATCCACCGTTTTACAGCCGCTCCTTTGACCCCTAAATGTGTCTGATCACTATCCGATCAGGTGCCGATCCAAGGGGCCTCTAAACCTTTCCATCTGCATCACAGTGGTAACCCTGGATGTATTTCCACATTTCTGTGTAGGAGTCAAAGACCCTGAGCCGACAGAGCCGCTGGGCCCCGTGGTGGCAGACAACACATCCAGGCAGCACCGCTACGTCAGTGGTCAGTACTTCTTTGAGTATCTGGTGGTGGTCAGCCTCAAGAAGACCAAAGATGGCAGCAGCTACGAACCTCAGATTACCTACCAGTTTCCCAAGGTCAGTTTGATGGTGGAATGTCCAGTAGGTGAGCCTAACAAAGCAAACCTGGAGTGTTTTTAGGAGTGAGACGGGTTACAGTTATACACTGTCCAGTTGGAGAAGGCAAAGCTGTGCGCTCTGTTATCTATATATTCCCTGGAGGGTCATTTCAATTTATGGCCACGAGAGGTGGTTTAAACTTCAACAAACAAATTAGGATAAAAATCGGATTGTTTCTCAGAACTAGAGATGTCTGCCTTCTCTCGGCATTAATGTGTACTTCTCGCGCTGTCACGAGCCTCTCGTCCATGAGTAGATGAACGCTTCCTTCTGCGCGTTGATATGGTTGGCTGGTGTAGTTGGGAAGAGAGAAAATAGTTCCTCCACGAAACTGCTCACAAAAAGGTATCCATGAAATGCAGCAGCACAACAAATTATAGAGGAGAAGAAGACTGCAAGCTGATGTAAACATTACAGGACACAGAATTTAAAAGGTACCTCCATCATCTGTTTGTTACCTGTGTCGTAGCCTCGTCCAAAAAGAACTAAATCATCATCTTAGCGATGAGTGTAAAATCAGACACAGCCACTTGAACTGAGGTTTGTTGGGGAACTTTGCGTGGAGAAAAAAATCAAGAGATGTTCATATTCTGTAGTGTGCGTCTGAGAAAACCTGAACGTTTTTTAAAGAACAGACGTGTGCTTTCAGAGAGATGGGATGGCGAAGTTTCAGAAGGAGGAGGAGGAGAAGACGCTAAAGGCGATCACTCTCTTTTGTTTCCCAGAGGGCATCAACTGGGCTCCTTTAACAGAATACCACAGGTACAACTGCTCCTCTGCCAGCTGCTTCGTCGCTTTGATAACTTTGATTCCTGTGTCCATGGTTCAGTTCAGTGTTTATGTCCTTTCCCTTTATGTTTTCCAGTGAGACTTTCTCCTTCGTTCTGACTGAGGTTGATGGTAGCAGAAGAAACGGATACTGCAGGAGGTTACTGGTCAGTGTGCAGACTGAAGTTGTCTTCACTGTGTCACCATTTGGATCTCATTCTCCAGTGTTCACTTTATAAACCTCTCCTTTCTTTCTCCGATCTGCAGCCTGGAGGGAAAGGAGCTCGACCTCCGGAGGCTTATTGTATCATCAGCTCGGTGGCTTGTTTCGGCCTCTTCTCCAAGGTGAGTTCAATTGAACTTTTCTAAATCTTTCAGCTTGTTTCTCACTGTGACTAAACTCGGCCGTACTTCTTTCCGAACATCGTGAATTTCCAAATTAGCAACCAGTCACTTAAAAACTATAGGAAACTTGAAAAATGTGAATGTGTAACCAAGTAGGTGTATTGTGTCAGTGGCCTTACCTTAAGCTCCAAGATCATGCTTTGTTTATCACCCGGTTCAGTCATTCTGAGGAATGCGTTTCCAGAATGGAGAGCCCTTGATCACGATCGATCGTTGGCTAGTGAGAGTTAGGGAAATGGCATCTTGCCAAACTAGGTGGGTGGGGTCTGCTTCATGGGTGTATGAAGAGAACTGGATACAGCGTTGGAGGCGGCGCCCAGCTCTTTCCTATGAAAGTTGCTAAGTGGCACATGAAGCAAAAAAAGTTTGAATTACAAGTACAGAAGTCTGATAAAATGACCTGAATCTTCCGGTGATATTCAGCATCCATGAGCCCATAGAGCAAGCTTCCTTTAGCCCCGCCTCCCAGCCCTCGGTCCAGCCTCCTTCTCATTCACATGAATGGAGGAAGTAAAAAAAGTTCTGGTTTCGGGTATTTCTTCCTAAAATGTCTTTTACTTATAACTTGTGACTTAGATAAGTTCACCAAATATAATTTGGGCTAGGTTGATTGAGAACAAGGAAAAATGTATGCTAGCGCCTTGCCTTCCATTTTGGAATGTTATGGAGACATTCATTTCTGACAGCAAAATGTCAATAGAAACAACACAATGCTGGCTTTTCTTTTCTAGCACACAAAATGGCATTTTTTGCTAGAGGAAACCAAACTAAAACATTGAATTACTTCCTGGTTTTGTGCTGATGTCTTAGACTTGTACTTTGTGTGGAAATATGGTAATCAATGTTTTAAAAATCAGAACCAGCAGGTCAGAACAAGAAAACAAAACAGAAATTTGATTTGGCCACCAAAATTGCAATTGGCGCATCTCTAATTTATTGTGATACTGTCAGAAACTGCAGTGCAGTACAAATTGGGAGAACAATAGCAGGAAAACAAAGAGTGGTTCGGCATGTGGTGGCTTCATTTTCAACGTTTGCACAGATTTTTTTGAATGAATCAACGATTTGGTAGTGACAATAGAAAACAAAGACTAACAGAACTGTGTTTGTGTTTTATGAAATGTAAAGCTGATCCCATTTATCATATGCATTCATGCACCATTAGCACTCAGCTCACTGCAGTAAGACATTCAGTGACTGCATATTTACATTTACTTAACCTTTATACTTATATATCTGGAAAAATCCGCATCAGACTCAAGTTCCTCTATATGATATTCAGAGCATTAATATAGCAGTAAACAACCAGTCACCTAGTCTTGTTAAAAAAAAAACTCTAATGAGACTTTATTTGTAAAGCATGAGAGTTAAAGAAGTTTGGATATATTGGTATTAATCAGTACCATATCATGACTGTGTGTGCAGATATTTGACGAGGTGGAGAAGCGGCGGCAGATCTCCATGGCCATGATCTACCCATTCATGCAGAAGCTGAGGGAGGCTCCATTCCCAGCTCCCGGACACACTGTGGAGATTAAGAGCTTCATTCCTGAGTCGGGCACTGAGGTCAGACCAACACCCCTCCTTATACTCATAGATGATCAACAGACTGTTTGCTCTTTTCAAGTTTAACTTGAAAGATTCACAGTAGCTCAGGTTTACCGAAGTTTAAAACTAGTTCTGGTGCAACAGAATTATTAGATAAGACAGTGGCGGGCCTGCAAGGCCTTCTCTGCTGGCCTAAACAAAATCACAAAGCTATATATATTTAAAAAAAAAAAAAAAAAAAAAAAATGGTGAATTTAATAATTTTTATAATACACTACATGTATTATAATTTATAAAAATATTTTTCCCATTATCTTATTTTCTCATTGCACAGCTACTGTCTTCCTCAGTTGCTCTGCTTCCAGTGCAGCTTGTTTTAAGTAGAGCTTTTATCCAATCAGATTTCACCTCTGTGTCTCTAGGTAAGAACAGAGACCCAGGCCTGCAGAGTCTCACCTGCAGCCAGTGCAGATTAAAGTAAATGGGGACGATATTGTTGATTGTCATAGTGTTCAACCAATCAGAACTTTAGTTTGACATGTTGGGCGTATTCTTTGACTATCAGAGCCTGCGCGCCGGCCTATAATGACGTCAGCATTACATGCCGCCAGTGTCCGTGTGTAGCTTTCCCGCGAGGTACAGAGTGTGCTGTGAAACTTAACAGCCAGCAGAGGCTGATGGGTAGTGAATCACATCACGTGACACAGCTCAGCCAATCAAAATGCATTCTGATTGAGTGAGATGCACCATGATAGAGGAACCTGAGCCGAGGAAAGACATTGCAGAGCAGTACATTCAACGCTCAAGTTGTGAAAGTAAAATCCTGTGATAATCTCTTTGGGTCGCGGCTTGTCATTAAGGAATGATGGTGGATCCCACAGCCAGACCAGCTGAGAACATTATATTTTCCTAAATTTAGGCTTTTGCATTTTCTAAATGCTCGAGCATTATTCAGACGACTCGTACCGAATGGTTTAATACGACGATGTACATAGTTACAGCCTTAAAAATGAATAACAGCTGTTGCGCCATAATGTGGTTATTAGGTGGTATTTCAGCTGCAGGACAGCAGTGAAGGCCCAGGTATAAAATGCACGGCCCGCCACTGAGATAAGATGCATATCCCTGTTTTGTTGAGGAGAGAGCGAAATGCATCCAATCTGGTGTACGCAACACAATTACATAATCAGCCCATTGATATTTAAAGGGGCCCGCTTTTTGTGTTTGGCATCACACCCAGTCAGATGAAGAGATTCAAAGACAACCGATGTTTGATTAAAACTAGTGTTTTATTTTCACATCTCTGACCATTAGTTCTCTGATATTATTTGCTGAAATATCCAAATGAGGCTACATCTTTAAGAAGAAGAAACACGAGCAGTCAGATAATCAGACAGGAAACAAATCTCCAGGTTAGACCAGAAAAATAGTCAAATGATCACATAGACTGTCTGTCTGTTTTAAACATTTTCCTGTACACTACCTACTCTCCAAATAAACTGCTTTAGCTATAATTTGTCTACACGATCAGCTTGTTTCCAACCTGTCTGATTGTCTGACTGCTCATGTTTCTTTTTCTTTTTTTTTGCCATGTCACCAGTTCTGAGATCTCAGAAGGGATAGAACCGATGGTCAGTACTCAGGAAATCTGCCGGTCTTGAAAAGCATTTCATTCATTTTCCTCCTAAAAAGGCCTTATAATGTATAAAAGGGATAGTTTGGATGTTTTGAAGCGGGGTTATATGAGGCACTTCTCCACAGTCAGTATTTTACTACGGTAGATGGAGTTTGGAGTACCAGCATGGGAGCAAAGTAATGTACTGCTGTTGACGGGGAAGTGGTAACGTATTTTGGACAACATGAGTTTAAGGGTATGCTATAGAATATTTTCACCGCTTTACCTGCCATCAGAGAGCTGAAACAGAAACACTTCCCTCATCAGGCCACATACCATGTTTCAGCAGCCATCACAAGTTTTTACTGATGCTGGCCATTGTTTGTGCTGGAGTTACTGTGGCCAGCCCCCGGGGTGAAGTGAGGACAAAGACATGGTTCTCCAACCAATGGATGCATCTCATCCCGTCCTTTAGAGCTAAGCTTTAGTGCCTTGACAATCAGACGGGCGTCAGAGCGACTTGTCAGTTGAGTGATGACATATTTGTGACAGCGGTGGTGACTCTCCACCAGATCATCAGTCTGACCCGGCCGTTGGATTCCTGGCTGGAGCACGTGAACTTCCACACACTGTTCGGCTGCCTGACAGACGAGGAGGTGTTGCTGGTGTTTGCCGCCACCGTCCTGGAGAGACGGATCGTCTTCATCGCTGATGAACTGGGGTATGACACACTCACACAGACCTCATCAACCTCATTCATGCATCGCTCGAGTACCAAACGTCCTGCACAAAGTGAAGAGCAGAATATGTTTTGAACTGGACGGTGTGACTTACCCGGGACGTCCGGTGACTGCATTTCATTCTGATGGAGTCAATCACAAATCAGACATCCACTGGAGGCATTTTAGATGTGGAGCGTCTTCAAGCAGTCTGTTCTTCATCACTGTGTAGAGTAAAGCTTTAAAGGGATAGTTTGGATCTGTTCAAGTGGAGTTGTATTAAGTTCTTCTCCATAGTCAGTGTATTACTACAGTAGATGGAGTTTGAAAAAAACCAAACAGGAGTTCCAGCACAAAAGCAAAGTAATGCACTTCTGTGGACGTATTTTAGACACCTAAAATATCTGTATCAGTTTAAGGGTACGCTATATTTATAGTATTTTTACCACTTTACCTTGCCACCAGACAGACCTTTCAGACGGGGAACTGAAGCTGTGATATTTATCTATGCTCTCTTTGAAACACAGTGCCAGTTTGCCTCCTCCTGCCCTTTGATTAGTCAGTATGCAGGCTAAAGAACATTTCAGTGTGCTGGTGGTGGAAACTACCGATGCACAAAGGAAACGGAGGAGCTGCTCACAGCTGGAAAACAAACTGCAGTGTGGCTTGTAAACCAAAAATAACGGTTAAATCTTTGGGAAGACATTTAGCTCTTTGTGACGTTTAACTGACTGTTCGCTAAGTTCGTAAATACAGACTGGCCAATCATAGTGTAGCATCGGCCAGCTCTGACCAGGGTCAGACAAGTCTCCAGATCTGCTCCGTAGACTCTCATCAATAGTTTCAGATGTTCAGGCTGGTTTAGTGGGTTTGGAGCTCGTCCTGGTTAAACGTTGTGTGATAGTGATACTCGTTACCCAGAGAGGTTAGAAGGAGAGATATGTTTCTAAAACGCTACGTTTCTACTTAAAAACCTGTGAAGTACATTAGCACATCATTAACTAGTGTTAACACCTCTATGCAATGCTAGCTACTGAAGGTAAACTGAATGTACACAAGTCCCCGTATGGACCAACTACAAAGTGTGGAATGGTAGTGGTGAGGTGCCAGTTTGCCTCCTCTTGCCCTTGAGCAAGGCATCGAACCCCCAACCGCTCTGGGCGCCTATCTGTGGGGCGCCTATCTGTGGGCCCCCTCACTCCCCCTCACATCTCTCTGTATTAAGGCCTGTGTGGAGTTCATGTTTGTGCATGTGTGTCTTTCTGTCTGTCTGACTGACTGATGTTTCACTGAATGGACATTACATAGAATTTGAGTTTATTACAGTACAGTTATCCAACCCTTTCAATGTTTTATTAGCCTCTATCATTTGACAGTTTGCCATTATTCAAATACTGGCTTTTCTCAGAAATGGTATGATGGTGTGTACTCGGTTGGAAAATGATTTGTTTTGGAAGCCGATTGGCTGATCTGGTGGCCCTGGCATTGTCATTAAAGGAACCCGTGCTTGTAATTACATTGCAGCTCAAATACAGAGAATAACTGAAGTGACTTGAGTTCATGATGAAACGGACTGACCCATCAAACCTGGACAGTTAGTTAGAATCAGTTCTGATATCAGCTCCCTTGTCTCCCCACAGCACATTATCCCAAGTCATCCATGCTGTAGCAGCCCTCCTTTACCCCTTCATCTGGCAGCACACCTTGATCTCCATCGTTCCGCAGATCCTGATCGACGTAGTGTGTGCGCCCACCCCTTACCTGCTGGGAGTCCAGAAATGCCTGCTGGACCAGGTCACCGACCAGAGTGACGTGAGTTGTGATGGAGAACGCAACCAAAGCGTTGCTTCATTTCTACAGAGACAGTGTTTGTGTATTAGAACAGCATTACTGGTGAAAGCTTTCTTTCTTCTGTCGGTGACAGCTTCTGGTGGTCGACTTGTCTGAGGATAAAAAGGAGACCTTCATTGCTTCAGTAAGTGTCGCATGAACAAAAATGTAAATAATCTTTTGGTTATGAATTGTAATTTTGAAATTCAATTAAAACATTTGTTTGAAATTGTTTTCCAGGTTGGTGATGAAAGCTCAATTCTGCCCCCGAAGCTCCAGACTGAAATACTAGAGGCACTAAGAACCAGAAAAAAAACATCAAGTGAGTCAAGTGCAACCCAAATCAAACACACTTGTATCAGTAAGGAGCAGAAGTGTAGTTTTCTGTCCTTTGTTTCAGCGGTGGAGGAGATGAATCGGGTCGTGTCGGAAGCCTTCCTGCATTTCTTTGTGAAAACAGTCGGCCATTACAGCTCGTACGTGAAATACAGCCGAGCCGGACAGCCGGGGGTGTTTGAAAAGAGGAGTTTCTACAAGGCCATTGATTCCAAGACCACTCGACACTTTGTCAAGAAGTTCATCCAGACGCAGACGTTTGACCTGTTTATCCAGGAGGTGGAGCAGCAGCAGCAGCCTGGACCGCAGCAAGGTGAGGACTGGCCACAGATCATTTAACTCAAAGATATAAATTAGGTTCAGATTCAATATAGGCCTGCTGTCAGATCTCTCTGCAGGGACTTGACTTTCAAAAAAACTGGCTTCTCACAGCCTCACTCTTCTCAAAACATTAACTAATCATCAAATTTAGGTCATTGCGACACTCACCGCTTCTCCAAATCCTCATTAACAAGGATTAAAACTGACTAGAGAAGTGGCAGCGCAACAGCAAGGTCTGATGGAGGAGGAATAGCTGTGTCCTAAATCCACCCTCGCTCTAATCAGCTTTTGAGAAAGTAGTGTATTCAAAGTCACAAAAATGGAGTTCACTGAAAACAGTCAGGATGCAGACCAAAATCATGTTCATTTTGAGTGTGCTGGTGGTCGACACAATTGTCCCACAATGCAGTGCACACAGGAAACGGAGGAGCTGCTCACAGCTGGAAAACAAATTGTTGACGAGTGTCTCTCTCCAAGAATTAGATATTTCAGAGAGTTTAGTGAGTGACAGTGTGGTCTCCATGGTAACCCTGACAGCTAGACTGAGTAACAGGGTTAGGCGGGGCTTAGCTAGTTCTAAATTTGCAGCTTGTGTCATTTCATGTTGGTATAAAACAGTTTTGTATGTTTGTTCATTCATATTGGCTAAAACAGTATACTAAAGATATCAGTACACAGTACACAGTGTAAACAGTTAGCGTGGAGTCTGTAGCACTAGTGCTTGCAGAGTATCCACCATGTTTTCCAGGTGTAGGAAGTGTTTCTTGTCAGCTTGATTCCGTTACTGATCTTGATGTACGACCATTTTTAAAAACCTGATGAAGTTAAATCAGCTTATACTCATTTGTCACATCAATGCACAACATTAATAAACAGGAATCCTATAACATGGTGATTAAAGAATTGATGAGATAAGATCATAATAATCCTTTATTAGTCCCACAGCGGGGATATTTTCAAATGTTGTATCCCAGATATGTAATGAGCCGGACATTTTACTGTGTGAAATTCAACCACTGACACTGTTTCTAAATGACCTCGGACATTCTGTGTCTTTTGACGGCAATGTCCTGTCGCTCATCATTCGACATACGACAATAACTATACAGTGGGTACGGAAAGTATTCAGACCCCTTTAAATTTTTCACTCTGTTTCATTGCAGCCATTTGCTAAAATCAAAAAAGTTCATTTTATTTCTCATTAATGTACACTCAGCACCCCATCTTGACAGAAAAAAACAGAAATGTAGAAATTTTTGCAAATTTATTAAAAAAGAAAAACTGAAATATCACATGGTCATAAGTATTCAGACCCTTTGCTGTGACACTCATATTTAACTCACATGCTGTCCATTTCTTCTGATCCTCCTTGAGATGGTTCTACTCCTTCATTGGAGTCCAGCTGTGTTTAATTAAACTGATTGGACTTGATTAGGAAAGGCACACACCTGTCTATATAAGACCTTACAGCTCACAGTGCATGTCAGAGCAAATGAGAATCATGAGGTCGAAGGAACTGTCCAAGGAGCTCAGAGACAGAATTGTGGCAAGGCACAGATCTGGCCAAGGTTACAAAAGAATTTCTGCAGCACTCAAGGTTCCTAAGAGCACAGTGGCCTCCATAATCCTTAAATGGAAGAAGTTTGGGACGACCAGAACTCTTCCTAGACCTGGCCGTCCAGCCAAACTGAGCAATCGTGGAAGAAGAGCCTTGGTGAGAGAGGTAAAGAAGAACCCAAAGATCACTGTGGCTGAGCTCCAGAGATGCAGTAGGGAGATGGCAGAAAGTTCCACAAAGTCAACTATCACTGCAGCCCTCCACCAGTCGGGCTTTACAGCAGAGTGGCCCGACGGAAGCCTCTCCTCAGTGCAAGACATATGAAAGCCCGCATAGAGTTTGCCAAAAAACACATGAAGGACTCCCAGACTATGAGAAATAAGATTCTCTGGTCTGATGAGACCAAGATTGAACTTTTGGCGTTAATTCTAAGCGGTATGTGTCCTGCCCAATACAATCCCAACAGTGAAACATGGTGGTGGCAGCATCATGCTATGGGGGTGTTTTTCAGCTGCAGGGACAGGACGACTGGTTGCAATTGAAGGAAAGATGAATGCGGCCAAGTACAGAGATATCCTGGAAGAAAACCTCTTCCAGAGTGCTCTGGACCTCAGACTGGGCCGACGGTTCACCTTCGTTCACCATCCAACCTGACGGAACTGGAGAGGATCTGCAAGGAAGAATGGCAGAGGATCCCCAAATCCAGGTGTGAAAAACTTGTTGCATCATTCCCAAGAAGACTCATGGCTGTACTAGCTCAAAAGGGTGCTTATACTCAATACTGAGCAAAGGGTCTGAATACTTATGACCATGTGATATTTCAGTTTTTCTTTTTTAATAAAGTTGCAAAAATTTCTACATTTCTGTTTTTTTCTGTCAAGATGGGGTGCTGATTAATGAGAAATAAAATGAACTTTTTTGATTTTAGCAAATGGCTGCAATGAAATAAAGAGTGAAAAATTTAAAGGGGTCTGAATACTTTCCGTACCCACTGTAGATGGGCTAATATTGGCTGATGTCTCTACTCGGCGCATCATTATTCTAACCCTGTAGGAGCATCTACAGGCCAGGGCCAAGGAAGGCTGAGCACCACCACAGACATGGGCCTCATATTGTGTGTTCTGCCTGCTGTTGGCGACTAACGTGATAGAACTTTAATCTTGAACGTTTTCTATCCATAATGCATCTTGGGAGACGTAGTTAACTTGCCCGAAATGTACACAGGCTTGTACCTTCGACTTTTTAGCAGAGAACCAGATGTTTTTTTTTACCGTAGTTATTCAAATTTTTGACTGATTACTTGTGTAAAGAGATTATGAATGTATTTGGAGAACCCAGAAGCACATTGCATACACTAGCATAAAATACTCGAGGGCAGATAGTATCTCTGTTTTGAGCTGCTCACCTTTAAACTCAAAACCAAACCATGTTTAGCAATTTTAGCTAAATATTAATGCTTATTATAACATTGAGCCAAACTTGCGTGCCCTTTCTTAACTAACCCAACCACCATAACAACTTGCATCATCAGTTGCGACAGCTACATGGGTTAGGACCACGGATCTCATCGTTATGAGATTCCAATCTCAGATCAACAACTCTTCATTTTGAGACCAGTACGAAGTCAGAGTTATGTGGTCACTTTTTTTTTTTTTCCTTCACCTTTGCTGAATGCAATTTGTATCCGTCGCAGAATTGGACAAAACGCATTGTAACTTCAAAGCTACTAAAGGTTACTGCTCTTGGTTAGCATTCAACAATTACTGTGAAAATCCTAACTTGTACAATGTACACCTACATTAAAAATAGCTGATCATTGAATTAATCCACTCGGCTAGCTAGCTGTATGTAGTCTAGTTATCACATTCGGAACAATATAGTGTTTTACTATCCTGTTACAGAGTCTTTCCACTTGAACTCATGTTAAAACAACTGAAGGTTTTTCTTTTCCAGTGCACTGATTCAAGCTCTGGTCCTTTTGTCCTGCAGGAATATTTCACAAAAAGATCCTTGAATACCAAGAGAAGGAGAAGGAGAAGAAGAAAAAGACAAAGAAACACTAGCTCTCAGCGTAGGACCCTGGGTGTATATAGGGGATTCATAGGAAACCATGTGAATGTTGCACTGTGTGTTTGATGTCCCGTGTTAGTTTTGGTTTTAAACAAGTGTGTACCAATGTGTGAATTACTGTATGGCTATGTTGCTGCTACTCTGTGAAACACTGGCAGAATGTGTTGGTTGTCAGCCTGTGGCCTGACGAGCAGGGAAATCATTTCACATAAAGATTCGTTTTTTTAAGCATACACCTCCAGTCTCTGATTTCTTTAGGCAGCCAGGCCCCAACGGCTAGACATCTTTTGTGTCTTACTAACAAATAACTAAGTCCTCTGCTGCAAGACTCATCCTACAATTTGAGGAGCGGCCTCCTCTGCCTCTATGGATATTGTCACTTAGATGATCAGAATCAGCTTTAACGGCCAAGTAAGTGTGTAAGTGTTTATTTTGTTGCTCTCAATGTACACATGCAGAGATGCGGCATTAAAAAAGGAACAACTAGATGGGTGCACTTAATAGAAGACAAATCTCTGTCTGCAGCGACCACTGCTGTATTTTGTGATTGAATTAATACAACCTACAATTGGCTATCCCCCACACCCCACCCTCTAGACACCAAGAGTATCTGGCTTCTTTTTATTTCACTCGGGCCCCTCTCCTTGTCTCTTCCTCGCTTCTCTGTTCGCATGTCCTATGGGTAGGACAAGGACGCAAAGAGAGGATGCGAGGAAAGAAAATGGATGTACAAACTGGGAAATGAGACACGCCTGAGCACTGTGTTCCAAATTGCATACTTTTTCTATTTTACTTTTAGTAGTCTACATACTGCAGCTGCACCTCAAAATATGCACTGTTGCATGCAGCATGCACTAAATTGGGGACATACTACTTAATATTAAAATATAATATTGCACCTTGAACTTTGACCCCCTTGCTCATATATTTGTTGCACAGGATTGTGGGTCAGAATAGACAGAAAAGCATGCTTGTTTTTTTTTTTTGGCATACTGTATTTAACATATTTGAATTAGGAAAAGCACAACACACTGTTCCGCCTAGTCTCACCCTACTGAGCTGTGATTGGCTAGTGGCAAGTACTACTGTGCTGTGATAGGAGGATTATCTGACAGCGTCAATGAGCTTTTCTATAATGAATCACTGAGTTGTTTAATTTTACTTATAGAGCGGTTTATTTTCATGCTTCATTGGTTACAGAAATTGAGTGCACATGGGAGACTTAAAATAAAGCTTTTCTGCCAGAAAGCCCTGAAGGACACTTCAGCTAGGCAAAGTGAGTCGAACAGTCGGATAAGTGCTATATGATAGTTGGTATAGACCACTCACAGCAGTAGTACTACCCAATCACAGCACAGTAGCGCGAGACAAGGTGAAACGCCTTTGGGGAAAATAAGACGTGGTCCGAGACTGTCCGTGTTGCAACTGGACCGGCTAGTATTTATGTCGCAGGAGGCGTCCAAAGGTCCTAAACATTTTGTTAACTCATTGTAAATAGCAAGATAAGGAGTTGGTGAATTGACTGGGTTGCTAGCGGCTTCTGGCTCCACACGAGCAGCGGAAGAGACGCACGGGGAACCGGTTAGACTGGCGCAAAGGACCCGGGGACTTGAGTAGTGGTGGGACTGGTCAGGTGTGTGGAGTGTTTTGGCCGCGTGATGAAGTAAAACACCTGAGTGGGAATGTGAAATGTTTTCTTAGCAAAAGCCTTTAACTAGTTGTAAATGGATGCCATCACTTACTGTCTTCGTTCCCTAAAGAGGTTAAAACTGTCACAGAATGAAACCCTGGGGATGGCCGGCTGAGGAGAGCCAGGTGTGCTGCGAAAGCAGCCGGCTGACACGCCCCCCCCCCCCCCCCCAGGAGGGGATGGGACCGGATACACGGATGTGTCTCACTGAGGTGAACTGGATAAAGTCGGTTTTTAACATTACAGAATCCTGTTAACGGGCACCATTTGTGGCAATGACTGGGAAATTGCGATTCATTAGCTAGAACCTTAACAGCCCGTTTTAAATGTGCTTTTTATTTGGCACAAGGAAAATGTACAAAACAAGACCGGAGATTAGCACTAAAAAAGAATAAAGCACAATCGTGCACTGAAAATCAAGAGAATATTAAGTGTATATATATCTAATAATTAAACAATCAACGACAAAGAAGATAAATGATCAGGTCAACAGACGAGGAGCACAAAAGGTCAAAGTAATATTTTGGAAATCTTTTGAATGGAAATAAAAGATCACATCAGAGCAAATATACACTTTATTTTCTATGCACCAAGGTTTGTTTGGATGTGTGCAACATGGTTCAACTTGAAACTCACGCGACTCAACTTCTTTCGTTCCATGGCACAGACGGGTGCAGGTGGACTGATGCTTACAGTCTGTGGGAACTATGGAGGAGACTTCAGGATCATCCTGCAGTCCTCCACTTCCCTCTGTTGTGTTCTTCTTTGCGTTTTGTGGCAGAATGAAAAGCCAACTTTTAGCTGCATAGCGCCACCTACTGTACCGAATTATGTAGAACCGGATCTAGTGCTTTTGTCTGTAATACACTTTAGTGTCGGTAACTATAAGTTATACTACAGTGTTATTGCTATGTTTTTAACTTTAACTGTCAGTTGTGTTGTGAGTTGAAACGGGTGTTATTCTTTGTCCCACACTTACAGATCTGTGGCCCCGATGCGAGTCTTCTCTGTATGAAGATCTGAGGTATGATGTTTTTTTTTCTCATTACCAGCTGTGTTGTGTTTAATGTTCAATATTAAAAGCATACTCAACTTTTTAAATGCAGTTACCTTTTAAGCTTCTTCTGAGCTTCTGATTCATGAAATGATAGGATATGTTCTGTAATAGACATCCAGACGTCGTTCCGTGTGATTTACACTTCCTGAGAATATCCTCGTCTCTGATGTCCACAACTTCAGAATACCTGAAGCTGAAATGATTTAGGAGCTCATTTGTCTTCTTTGTCGGTTCTCAGAGAAAATATGTGATGTGTTGGAGGAGCAGCAGACTGGAAGGACATCAGGGTGAGGAGAGGAATACACTACAGTCTGTACACAGCTGGAAATATATATATTATATTTGAATGATTGTAATGTGATTTATGTTTTGTGTGTCTTCGTCCTTCTGAAAACGTTGGAGGAGCAGCTGGAGAAGCACAGAGAGGCTCGTCAGAAGCAGCTCAGCCTCCTCTGAGATGAGATTGATGCTGGACGAACTCAGAGTAAGGAAACAAAAGCAAAATATTCTCTTTTCACTTTTTTATTTATAGTTGAAGATTATTTGTATTATATTTGTCCAGCATTTGAGCCTTTTGTATTGCTGGTAGATGGTGAATAACAGAACCAGGGCCATTACATAGTCTGTGAAACCACTTGACTACCTGGACATGCATATTGAAACATAACTGGGATTGAGATTATGCTTTGGTTGAATGTTTGTTTTTAGATTCACATTTCTAAGCACATTTAATCTAACTATTTGGCAATTCCTCCACTATGTCACATTGTGATGTCATGATTACATCATCAATAAGCGACCCAACATACCTCCCTGTGTTTTGTGTTTAGCCAGGCTTTATCTATGTTCCATGAAAGCTGGTACAACAAGTCTGTTTTAAAAGTGGTGAACCAGGGTCTGTTATAGGAGCAGCAAAGACTTTATATGTTTCATAAGTGTTGCTGTAAATGTCTGTTTCCTGTTCATCCAGGCGGCTGAATGAATAGAGAGACTTGCCTGAGGACACGAGAAGGGGAGTGCATGGAACAAACCTACAAGTAGTATTAGTTGTTGTTGTAGTTATTGTTGTTGTACTATTAGTATTACTAGCATTTGTTGTTGTTGTTGTTGTTGTTGTTGTTGTAATAGTAGCTATTGTAATAATGTTAGTAATTGTTTTAGGTGTAGTAGTCATAAAAAGTCAATCTATAGTATGTCATTAAAATGCCATAAAATTGTCATAGAAATAGCAAATTATGAATAGATAAAACATTCAAATGTCAGTATAGTATGTAATAAAAGGAAGTTGTAAAAAAATGTCATACTATATTATGTCATAATATAGTATGCTATGACAAAATGATAATATAGTATGTTCAGTAGGAATAGTATGTAAAAATATATATTATGTCTTAAAAGAAATGTCTTAAAAGTCATGGTATGGTATGCCATACAAATATCATGTATATCATAAAGTCATAAAATATGTTGTAGTATAGTATGTCATATAAGTTGAGTATTCATTCTATAGAAATGTCATTGTTTGGTATTCCAATAGAAATGCCATTGTATGATGTGTCATTAAAATGACATAGTATGCCATAAAAAAAGGTAATATAGTGAATCGTAAAAAATGTCATAGCTTAGTATGCCCTAAAATGCCAGAGAAATATCGTAGTAATGTAAGCCCCAAAAAATAATAGTATGCAAGGCATAGTAAGGTATGTCATAGAAATGTCATAATGTAGTATGTCATAAAAAAGTCTGATCGTGTCGTAATATATTATTCTATAGAACGTCATAACAATGTGATAGCATGTTATGTCATAAAAATAAATAAAACATGTCATAGTATGTCATGAAAACATTTTGAACAATGTCAGAGTATATAATGCTATGAAACATAAACACGTCATAGGATAGTATGCCATAAAAAATGACATTAAAAAATAAATCGGAATGCATGAAACTGAATATTAACAATTCTTATTGTGCACACTGCAACATAGCAAAGAAAAAATATTGCTTTCTTTTCAAAACAAATGTTCAAGATTGTTATATACAGTAAGCACTCTAAATAGTCATGAATTATAGTATGTCATACCATAGTGTGCCATAAAATAATGTAATAAAGTCATTGTGTATTATGCTGTGAACTTTAAATTCTTCTGGTGTACTCTTCTCCCCAAGATGTTTCTGAACTCACCTCTTCTTGTTCTGTATGAAGACTGGAACGCTCCTATTGAGATCAGACTGCATTTTATTCTATCATAGGTTTTAGTTAAGTGCTATATAAATGAAATTCATAATTGTTATTATTGCTGTAATAACCTTTGACGTCAGGAAACTCTTCGTCCCAGCCTGAAGAATCATCTCTGCTGACTGCACCCTGGCCTGGCCCATAAGATATGTAATAAAATTAATCTTTCTCCCTGTCTTATTCTTGCTAAATGCAGCACTTGACGCAATTTATTTTTTACAACTTTTATTGAATCAACACTGGATCACAGCAGGAATAATTACAGAAATGAAAGGAACTGGTGTATGCAACAAGGAGAACTTTGAGTCAAGAGTGCAGCTGAAAACCAGACTTGTACAAGAGTCTGTAGCGACACAATAGTTGGATGAACGTTCTCTTCCCCTTTCCTGTCTAAAAAAGTCAAATACACACACGGAGGAGTCGACTACAAGTCCCAGAGAAGATTGCTGCAAGAAACAACCAATCCACAGTTAGGTGGCCACTTTATGCTTTTCTTGACATACTATATTATTATTGTTTGACATAGCCATAGCCTACTATGGATTTTTTTATGACCTTTTTTCTACACTACCATGATTTTTAAGGACTTTTTTGACATACTATATTAGGACTTTATTTAACCCATTACACTATGACTTATTTATCATTTTTTTCGACTTATAGATTAACAAAATGCTTAGGACTTCTGAACGCCTGCGGCAACATAAATACCAACCGGCCCAGTCTCATTAGGACATCATCGCCTCTCAGACCTTATGGACACAGCTGTCTTTCCCCCTCTCTATTGTAGAAATCAACATTTAGACACAACAGAAAACGTTTAGCCATTATTAAATAAGCATAACATAACAGGCAGGACTCTGATCTCAGTTGGATGATGCATTCAACATCGTAGAGGAATAAGATAACGTAATGTAATGAAAAATAAAATAAAAGACAACAGATGGAAAGGATAGGTAATAAAATCAAATTACTTTAAAAAGAGTTCCTGATCCTAATATGTCCCGTTTGTAATTCGTAGATGTACTTCCTAAATTGAACCCTGGCCACTAGGCGTCATGCTAGTTCAAACTGATTTGGTGACGCAACCCTCAGCGAAGGAGAGGAAGAGAGGACGGCAGATACCGCACCTTCAACCAAGGTAAGTGAACAAAGACCAACTATCAAAATACGAAATGAAAAGACTAGAAGACAGTATGTTGAACTTTTTCTTTAGTTATTTATCTTACTAAATGGATTGTGGACGTGCTATGTGCTACGATGTTACATTTGAAAACAAAGGACTCGATCTATTTTAGTAGATAAGTAGCTAACGTTTACTAGCTAACTTTCCCTTAGCCATTGGCTTTGGGTAACTTCAAGTTGTCAAGCTCGTGTTAATGGAAATAGAGATTTTCTAGTTGTAGCTTTCAAAATAATACTCAGACTAACGAATATGGAGTGAAACAGTAAATCCTATAAACGTGAGCTTTATTTTGAAGGAAATATCCGGTGTTATTAATGCACTATCCGGGTGACTTGACGGAGAAAGGAACTTTAATAGCTAACTAGCTAGCTAACTAATGTTAGCAGGTTAAAGCATTTGTTTGCTATCGGTTAAAGGAAACTACGCGAACTTTAAAATTGCCAAATATAATTGAACCAGGGTTACGTCAAAGTACGTTAAGTTTTGAATTGCATTGCTCTCTATTTATAATGGTTTACTCTTAAGGTAGCTTTGTAAATGCACGTATGGCTACGTTGCAACCGAAACTAACAACTTTGGTAGCTAACGTTAGCTGCACGTTGTTGACACTGGACAGATCAGTCTGTTTTAGTCAAGAGCGGAATAAAACTAAGGTTATGTGATGTTATGTCTTGTTCGTTTTTGATGCTGGACAACACGATGAGCACTCGATTTAAGTCTGTGACGTTACAAATGTAACGTACGGCGACATTACACGTAGCTAACGTTAACGCTTAATACATTTGATATTTTCATCAGTAAGTACGTACTTTCCAGTTCTACATTTTCGCCTAAGTGTTAGCTAAAACTTCAGTTCTTTTGGCGTATAACTAGACAGCATTTCTAATAAAAACAGAAACTTTTACAGTGTATATTGCCTTCATTCCCAGAATGTTTTAGACCAATACAAACTGGTTGTGAGCTCCTTTGAGCCTTATTGTATCATACAAACACATGCTAACGTCAATGCTAACTATGGCTGAAGTATTTTGTAAGGAGAGTTCAACATTGCCCTGGAAATTTATATGCCTCTTGAAGTGTAATTCATTTAATGATTTGTAATTTAGGCTAGCTGGCCAATAACACCACCACATAATGCTCAAGTAAAAATGTGTTTCAACTTGTCATGTACTTATTCCACATGTCATGTCTGAATAAGCATGGTTAGATATGCATACTGCATACAGAAACAGATTTTCAGCAGTCTTGGTCGGTCAAATAGCTGTAACTGATTTACAACTGTGTTGGCGCCATAATTCATGTCAAATGAACTGCACATGCTGCAGGTGTGAATGCACCTAGTGTGCAATCAGCATTTTCTTGTTATTTGACCATTGTCAGTCCACCATTGCAAAACTTACACTGTACAAATTAGTGATAGTATACATTTATCTGAAGTATTTTGTTTTATGATTATGTTGTTTAAATCTGCATTAAGTCTTTTTAGGGCCCAACTTGCCTCAAAACCCTCTCTGCCTCACAGAGGGACTCCACCATGTTTGCTTGCACAAATCAGATTTCTTCATCATTTCTTCATAACTGCACAATGTCATCAACACGGCTCTGCTCAGCCAGCAGAGCCAGCTGCTTTCCTTCCTCTTTTTCTGGGCCAACAGTCATCTCATTTCATAGCTGAGTTTTTTTTTTTTTTTTTAGAGCTCAACTCATCGTCGTATAATCTAGCCTCGCTGCTTCGTTAAGCCTCCCATGATCCCAGCCCACCTCTCACTCCTCCGTGGTGCAGTGTTTGTCTTGTTGGCTATGTGGCACCATTCTGCGTGTGTTTCTAGCAGCGTGGACTGACGATGCATTGTGCCTCTACGTCGCCTGTGTGTCTTTCCAGGTAAAGCATGGCGATGACAGGCCCGAGCTCGTGCTCCTCCATGAGTAACCACACCAAGGAGCGGGTCACTATGGCCAAAGTGACCCTGGAGAACTTCTACAGTAACCTCATCGCCCAGCACGAGGAGAGAGAGATGAGGTAACGTCCACATGTCATTTTTCGGGGACTGCACAATGATCTTTTGCAAACACTTTGCGATGCACACAGATGTTTTGGTGCCACAATCTTGTAATTCCAGGCTAAACCATTCTGACCATTTGATTCACAGTGAAACGCAAACATGATTCAGCCAGTGGTTTATACACAAATCATTTCTTTGTTTGTATTTCATCCGAGCATGTGGTTTATGTCAGAATTTAGTTGAAGCAACACCACTTCCTGTTGTGATAAGTTTCATCAGAGTGTACTCCTCACTGTCTGGGTTGGTTTAGTATGGAGGCTGGGCGATTCTTTTATTATTCATTATTTTTTTTTTAAATACAGATTTTAATCGCCCCATTATGATAAAGATAGTAAACAAAATCCATTGTTCAGTATATGTGGGTTTGAGGGTCAGGAGAGCACAAACGATAACATTAAAGAGCGGCTAATCAGCAGAAATTCAAAGTCCAAACCCCCGGCTGTTAACACCGGCTTCTGTTCTACGTTCTCAGATAAAGATGCATTGGGATGCAATCAAATTTTTCCAGATCCTTTTTGAGTATAGTGAGTCTCGGGACTTACATTTTTCATTTTGATGGACATGTAGCTGATATCTTTGAGTGTATGTTGTAAACATAGTTTTGTAGTTTTTCTTGATATTGTTTGTGCCTCCTTGCCAACGTAATGGATATGATGGGATGTGCAGTGCATACACTACGCTGTGGCTAGAAAACAATGTTAATGGTCAGATTGTCTCTTCAGGCAGCAGAAGCTGGAGAAGGTGATGGATCAGGAGGGCTTGGCTGATGAAGAGGTGAGTTACAGACGCACATGTGCCGTGTTTTGCCAGCATGCTCTGCGGTGGTATGGGAGAATTCACTCAAAGTTGTTCTCGGTCCCTGTCTTAGTGTTGGGATGATTTTTAGATCTCCTGAAACACTATGAGTGTACATTAAGCATTTCTCTATGCTGTATAACTGTGCGTTTCCGTTATTGTTTAAAAATATCCAGATGTTAAGTAGCATGTGTGCATCCCACTTAATGCTGTATTTAAAAAGTGACGTCTGTGCTCTTCAGAAACGTATCCGCCGTTCTCAGCATGCGAGGAAAGAGACCGAGTTCTTGCGTCTGAAGCGGACTCGACTGGGTCTGGAGGACTTCGAGTCCCTGAAGGTGATTGGCCGAGGAGCTTTTGGAGAGGTAAAAGTCTTTTGCATACATACACACCATCAAAAACTCACGGGTCACAAAGAGGAGAACATACTATATCCACATATGAAAGTGTGGCTTACCCAGAACGCGCTCTCACAATAAGTAAGCACCACAGTGTCAGTGTTGTTCTTCATGGTTTTCAGAGTATCCAGTAGATCAGTGTGACTGTCGGTCTCTACGGAGTTAGTGTTCTATATCTGAGCATACCGACACCATTAATACTCTGAGCTAATCAGTAAATATGAAGTCACAACAGCCTCACAGTTTCTACCCGATGGTTGAGATAAATGGACATTGTTGTGTCTGCCTCCAGGTTCGTCTGGTGCAGAAGAAAGACACTGGCCACGTCTATGCCATGAAGATCCTCCGCAAAGCTGACATGCTGGAGAAGGAACAGGTGAGGCGGAGACATGCTCACACACACAGGAACCCTGCTGGCGCATCAGTTGGACATCTTTAAACCCGTGTGTGTGTGTGTGTGTGTGTGTGTGTGTGTGTGTGTGTGTGTGTGTGTGTGTGTGTGTGTGTGTGTGTGTGTGTGTGTGTGTGTGTGTGTGTTAGGTTGGTCATATTCGGGCAGAGCGGGACATTCTGGTAGAGGCCGACAGCCTGTGGGTGGTCAAAATGTTCTACAGCTTCCAGGATAAGATGAACCTCTATCTCATCATGGAGTTCCTGCCTGGAGGTACAACACAATACTGTGTGGAGAGCAGAACCTCTCGAGTGTGACTGTGGTCTGTGCTGTGTTGGTGCAGGAGACATGATGACCCTGCTGATGAAGAAGGACACTCTGACGGAGGAGGCCACTCAGTTCTACATCGCTGAGACGGTGCTGGCCATCGACTCCATCCACCAGCTGGGCTTCATTCACAGAGACATCAAACCAGACAACCTGCTGCTGGACTCCAGGGTGACTTTTGGGGATACTTGATGAAAATGATTTTGAATTCTTGTGTCATGTCCCACATTATCCACACGGAGCTCCCGCTGTGCTCCCTGTTATGAATACAAAGTTTGATGAATACTCTGTGTGGTAAAACGTCCCCTGTGATTCCTCCTCTTCCCCTCTGCAGTCTGCATATGTGCTCTTACTGATGCACACTGCCCAGCTGGAGACCGAAGCTTCCAGCACTTAAACTCTGAACTTGAGTGTGTTTTGTGTGTTCCAGGGTCACGTGAAGCTGTCTGACTTTGGTCTGTGCACGGGGCTGAAGAGGGCTCACCGCACCGAGTTCTACAAGAACCTGAACCACAGCCTGCCCAGTGACCTCAGTAAGCAAAGTCAGGCAACCCTTTTCATTTCTTCCAAATCTTACCTTGCATTTGTCTGTGTTTTATGATGCCGATCTGTTATTTGTACGCATCCATACATTACTGAAGAGTTTATTGTCTGTAAGATGCAGCCCGTGTTAGAGATGTAGGTGTTAATGCATCAGTAGGGTCACAGCTCGCTTTTAATACTGAGCTTCTTTTCTCCATCAGCCTTCCAGAACATGAACTCCAAGAGGAAAGCAGAGACCTGGAAGAGGAACAGGAGGCAGCTGGTAGGTCTGAACAGATGAGATGAATGAATACAGCTCAGTTTAAAATCAGATGGTCGCAGGCTTTACTCTCACCAGAGGCCCAAACGTTGTGTCCCGAAAGAAACTAAGCAAGAACCCAGCTAACTATTAGGCAGTGTAACACCGGTCTGTAGCACAAGCATGGCATCACCTGACTGGAATCCAGGTTTACAGTATTTGATTCTTGTACAGCTCATTGTGTTCGGATAAGCTTTAACGTTTCTGAAGGTCAGCGTCTTTTGTTAAAAGGGAAAACGTATAGTTTGGTATTGTACCAAAGCTTATCGTATTATTGTAAATATCCAGCCCCACAAATGATTCACTTTATAAACACAACACTTCCACAGTGTGGAATCGTCTCATTGTGTTTGTAGATAACGGTGAAAGTAGCTCTGTCTTTAAGAAGGGTTGGTACTAATCTCAATCTAATGTCATGTCTGATTATTGAATGTGAATCATTTTGAATCTTTTAATAAATATAAATAATAAGTCCGTTGAGATCCAACACATTGTATTGGCTCAGCATGCAGAACCAGTGCAGTACCTCTACTATTACACTTTATGTCATTGATTCAAACCCAGAATGCTTTGATGCAGAACGATCATGTAAAGTAAGAATGCATCTAGAAATGAAGTTGGGAGATCACGACAGCTGTTAATGACTCAGATAGTTTCTCTGTTTCTGGGTCCTGATCCAGTGAGCATCTTTGAACTCGGGTTCCAGTTCTCCTGAAGCCAGGCACAGCTGTCTTTAAATTCAGATTCAAATGTCGCTGAATCCCGATTGGTGCACAGAATCACACAACATAACCTTTTCCCAACTGAGTCCCGCCCACATCACTCCGGTGAAAAAGAGCACAGAGAGAAACTCAGTCCAGAGACGTCTCGTGTGAAATATCCAGAAAATGTTCATGTAATAGCTCACTGCTCAACATAAGAAGCCTTTCTAATTGGCTTTTTGTTGCCTCCTCCTCCTCCTCCTCCTCAGGCTTTCTCCACAGTAGGAACCCCCGACTACATCGCTCCAGAGGTCTTCATGCAGAACGGATACAACAAGCTCTGCGATTGGTGGAGCCTGGGTGTCATCATGTACGAGATGCTGATTGGTAAATGACTCCATGATGAGCACTATCCATCCTTTGTACCTCCGGGGGGTTTAGACCAGACCAGACTAGGCCTGATGTGGTTTAAAGGATGGTTGGTCTCTCTGCTGTCCTCAGGTTACCCTCCGTTCTGCTCAGAGACGCCTCAGGAGACCTACAGGAAAGTGATGAACTGGCGAGAGACGCTGACCTTTCCCCCAGAAGTGCCTATATCGGAGAAGGCCAAAGACCTGATCCTCAGGTAGGAACACCTCTTTTCTCTCTTTCATCACTTTCAACTTAACATTTCATTTCGAACGTGCTAAAGTTCCCTAAGAGCAGCTGCACCTAAGTGGTTTGTGTTGAGTGGATAATGAATGTGTGTGTTGTGAGCAGGTTCTGCTGTGAGGAGGAGCACAGGGTCGGGGCCGCAGGTGTGGAGGAGATCAAGTCCAACCTTTTCTTTGAGGGGGTGGACTACGACCATATCAGGTGTGGGCCGTCACCTCATGTTCATGTCATTACACACTTCTAGACCTTCGTCTTCTCTGGCTTTGTGCCTCAGACATTCTAAACCCGTCGTACTGGATCGTCTGTTTTGTGTCTCTGTGAGTACGTCGAGTGTATTTAAAATACAAGTGATGACAGATCGGACCGCTTGTACCGGGCAGCTTCATCCATAAAACCAGTCGATACAAGAGTGACGTATGTTACCACAGCAACAGACCAGGCTAGGTTCCAGTCAGTCCGTCTCATGTTGTGAAATGAGATCTCACCTTTCCTCCCCTTCACTGTCACGCCCACAGAGAAAGACCCGCTGCCATTCCCATCGAGATCAAAAGCATCGACGACACCTCAAACTTCGACGAATTCCCTGATTCAGATATCCTCACTCCAACGGGTACGCTTAGCTTCTCTGTGACACGAGGCACGGTTTCTACCTCTGATGTGTGACGTACTTTAAAAAATACATAACAAACTCTCCTCTTCCTCCAGCCGCCCCGGTGTCCAACCAGACCGAGGTGGACCTGAAGAACAAGGACTGGGTCTTCATCAACTACACCTACAAACGCTTCGAAGGCCTGACCGCTCGAGGAGCTATACCGTCCTACATGAAGTCAGGGAAGAGATGAGCGCCTCCTCTCAGGCTTCTAACCAACACCGCCAAACCTGAAGAGAGTCGTCCGAACCCCCGCTGTCCTCAGAGCCTCAGCCGAGAGGAGAACTCTGTGTTCTCTGAGGATCCTCCTTCATACAGGGCTCGGTGAATAATAAAAGGGGCTCAGTTTCAACTGCTGCCTTCATTTCTGCAGGTCTTCACTGTCCTCTGATGCTTTCGAAGGGTACCTTTCTACTTCCTGCTCACACATGAAGACTGGACTGGGATTGAAGTGGTTGGGATTCTCTCTCCACTTGCCTTTTTTATCCACCAGTGGATGCAGTGGCACGTCTTTACATCCCGATACCAGCACCATCACATTCCCTCTCCATAACCCAGCACCGCTCTGTCGGACCTGGACCTCCACTCGCCCTCTGTCATGTGGACTCGTCACCTCAAACATGGTCACTTGAAGTGAATCAGGGATTCTGTCCAAATGTTTCTCACTATGAGTCTTCTCTGAAGTTGCTGCTGGCTTCTGACTGTAACCAAAGACTGTGAGCTGAGTGGTGTTTCTGCTTGATCTGTCACTGCTTGTAACTTAGAATTGTATTTTTTTAGGTCCATAATCTCCTTTTAAAAAGAGAACGTATGAGTGATGCATTTTGTGGAGCAAACACAAGAGTCTCTTTACATTTTTCACAATGACCCCCTGAAGTTGTGCACCTTATATGACGTTTGAGCCAGCTCCATCCAGCTCATTCCTCACTGTGTTTGGGATGGGCTGGTTTGTATTGGACTGGATGTGTCCAGTCACCATTTTACATTTTTAATGAACCCGATGCAAACTCAGATTATTTTTTTAGTGTCCTCATGGAGGAGAAGTCTGGATCATCATGAGAACTGATGCAGCTCTCGTAGTGTTGAGCAGCTGTTCAGAGAGAGTGGTGAATGAACCCAGGCAGCCACAGTGTGAACACATTCAGTGGACTACTTTTTAAATAGAGGCCTCAACATCTTCCAGTGAACACAATATCCAACATGCTGTCATTTAAAATGAATGTAAATGAAGTCTTACAGAGAAAAGTAGTTTTTTTTTGCCACAATAATTCCAAAATGCTGTTTGTGTGAATGTTTTTCTTTTTTTAATGTTTGTGTCTGAGCACATGACGTAGAGTTATGGAAGTCCATTTCCCCAGAAACATAAGTTTCAACCACAATTATGAGCAGAGATAAAATTGACTTTCATAATTTTTACTTTAATAATATTGACATTTTAGATTCAGTCAAAACTGTCTGTCTTATTTGGTTTTTCTGTTTGTATGGAAGTCAATCTGAAAATATTGGATTTCATTATAATCATGACTCGGTGAATAACTTTGACTTCAATTGAAGTCAAACTGTATGTATGATGTCACATTATTGACATCTGGTCTAATGTAACATACATTTGGAGTTGGCTGATGTCAAAGCTTTCTCTTTGCTTGTCAAAATTACGACAAAACCCATATTTTGAGATTGTCAAAATCTGATATACTATCAGACAGTTTGGACTTTAAGAGATCACTTTAAAACCTTGTGTTTTGTTAGTAACTAAAGATGTGACTTTATCATTGCGTCATGTTTTCCATCTGCCAGCCTTCAGTGATGCAGAGCGTAGTGTAGATGAAGCTCAGCACAGTGTAACGTGTTGGAGAAGCTGTTCTACGGCAGGTCACTGTTTTATCTGTTGGAGCGCTGCGTGGATTCTTCTTGTTTTTTACCAAACTGCAGATGGGTCCGCTTAAAGCAATAGAGCACATGGAATGACTTCTTTTATTGATGATGCCACTCGGTGTGTGTGAGTGACGGTGTGTGAGGATGCTCGGTAAAGAAACAATGCATTGTGGGTTGCTTGGAGATGCGTCTGTTGTTTTCTACGGTGGTGCTCTGACGTGTCATCGCATGTGAGACGAGTCACGGGGGCGGGGTTTGTTCTGGGAAGGTGGGTGTACATTATTTAAACCACTGTTCTCTTTGTAGAGCGTGGCTGTTATATTGTTTTCTGCTATTTGACAATGAATTACTCTGCACTTACTGTGTCGCGTCGTCCTTCTCAACATCTGGATGAACAGCTGCGTGTAGCACGTGGCGGTGTGTTCCTGCTGGGTCACAGTGAGGACTTGAGCTGGACTCCCTAAAGCTGGACTTGGAAGTCTCAAGTTTTGACCGCCTGTTAAATTCCTTTGACATGAAACAGAACGTGTCAGGTATACACATATTTAATAAGTGCACGTCTCACTATTGCGTCATCTTTTAAAGGACTTTTTAAGGGTTGAGGTTCATAGACCTGAACAACATAATTAGCTTTACTGGTGTGAGTTGACTGCTTCGCATATTTGCTCAGAAATGCATTTAATCATAACGAAGTGTCTCAACAGCAGCCTTTTATATATGAAGAGCCATTTAAAAGAAATGAGTTCATCAGTATGCCTGATCAACATTAAAGTTAACGTTTAGTTATGACGCCACATCAATATTTAACTCATTTTATTCCATTCATAGAGGCAAATATAAATATGAATGAATATATATGAGAGCACTAATGAGAAGGCTGCTATTATGAAAACGTCTGAGTTGAAATCATTTACCTACCAACCTTCCACCAATCCTGTTCATCGGCAATAAACTAAGGTAATGAGTACTAGCCAATCAGAGGCAGAGGGCGGGTCTTTGCATAGTGGGGGTGGGGAAAGAAAGGAATCAAACTGGCACACCTGCCAAAGGTGTCAACCCCTGGGCCAGAGATAGATGGTTTGAAAAGCAGATCTACAACCTCTAAATAAATCCTTATGGAGTCCTACTGACACGGGATTGATTTAATAATTCACAAGTTGTGCTGACCAGTACTGTTGGTGCTGTATGTAACATGAGCCATAAAGAGAAGAACTGTTGTCTGTAATAAAGAGACGTGGGGTCACAGTTTCTAAACCGTCACTTCCTAACATCAAAGGAAGTTATAGAGAAATTGTGTAAATGTCTAATTAAAAATTTCTACAGTAATAAAGTGTCAGGTCAATATAGAATACTATTCTATAATGTTGTATATTGTAATATGCACAGTAAAGCTGAATACGTTATTATAGAGTTTTTACAGTCAACAGTCTGAAATGTAATTATTGATAATTAGTTATTAAACAGATCTCAGGGGTCAAACAGTCTATTGGAGGATCTGAAACAAAGTGTCATCCTTGTTCTTTTCAATGGGCTGAAAAATAATCTTTTTTAAATCAACAATTTAGAAACCCGTTATATATGGATTTTGAACATGAACACAGGATTAATGTGCTGAACGACCAATCACAACACAGTTCCATGAACACAAACCCTTCACTGGAGTCCAAATATGAGCATCACTCACTCATCAGTCACATGAGACAGCATGGTGACAGACTTCATTCAGCAGGAACACACATGTAACTCTGATTTATGAAGACGGAATGAAAACATCTTGACTCTAAATATTGATCTGAGAGCATTTCCACGTTGAAAACACAGTTAAAACACGGTGACGTTGAAAACACGGTTAAAATACGGTGACGTTGAAAACACGGTGACATTGAAAACACAGTTAAAATACGGTGACGTTGAAAACACAGTTAAAACACGGTGACATTGAAAACAGTTAAAACACGGTGATGTTGAAAACACAGTTAAAACACGGTGACATTGAAAACACAGTTAAAACACGGTGACGTTGAAAACAGTTAAAACACGGTGACATTGAAAACACAGTTAAAACACGGTGACGTTGAAAACACAGTTAAAACACGGTGACGTTGAAAACACAGTTAAAACACGGTGACGTTGAAAACACAGTTACAACACGGTGACGTTGAAAACACAGTTAAAACACAGTGACGTTGAAAACACAGTTAAAACACGGTGACGTTGAAAACACAGTTACAACACGGTGACGTTGAAAACACGGTGACGTTGAAAACACGGTGACGTTGAAAACACGGTGACGTTGAAAACACAGTTAAAACACGGTGACATTGAAAACAGTTAAAACACGGTGACGTTGAAAACACAGTTAAAACACGGTGACGTTGAAAACACGGTTAAAACACAGTGACGTTGAAAACACGGTTAAAACACGGTGACGTTGAAAACACGGTTAAAAGTGGTTCAAAGACGATTCAACGTTCACGTTTAGACCAGATTTCAACGTGATTTCCAATATTGGATTTCAACTGATAAATGTGGATGTGGTTTCTTAGTAAGCCTCTAAATCATGATATATTATTATTAGCACAATGTAGAGGTCGGAAAATTGTAGTTTTGCAAATCCCGTTGAAATCTGGTTTTAGCGTGAAAGTTTAATTAACGTCTACAAATAGTCGGCTAAAAAACCTTCACTTTTGAACCAATTCTGAACTAATTAGAACCTTTTTTTTTTTTAGCTCAACTGCAAAGCATGCTGGGAAGAATGATAACAAGCTCACAACCTTTCAGTGTTCAGATTTCTGAAATGGTTCCAAAGCAAAAATAATTGTTCTCACTTTGTACTGACTAAAAACTAGACTTTTCTATATTTTGTATATATATATATATTATATATTTTAAAGATATATATATCAACAGTGCGTGACTTGGAAGATTAATGTAGAAAAATGTGTGATATGAAGTTAAACCTACAAAGGTTTAGTTCAGCTTTAGTATCAAGAATTATTTCTCACTTTGTACTGAATCAAAACGAGACGTTTTATATTAGGAACGCTCGCTGTCGGTGAAGAATGAGGACTGGCTTGGTTTGTTGCTACAACTGAAGGTTTTACTTTGAATGATGATAATTGATATTTCTAAGTTTGAACAAGTTGTGATCTTTATCAATGTTAAACCTTTAGCATTCCCCATTTAAACTAAGAATAACAGAAAGCTGCTGGCAAACTGCAAAACAAATAATTAAAATGAGAAAAGTGTCTGATGACATAATTGTGTTAGAAATCCCACAAATCACAGATCTCAAATATGAAGGAATCAGTTTGATGCTAATTGTTGTGGACTCAAATGATCTGATCTGATGACGGAAGAGATTGATGGACTTTATTCAGCTTTGAGAAGAGCAGGAGTTGTCGGCCGGAATCTTCAGGCGGAGGCGGCACGTGCAGTTTGCTGGCAGAAGCTGAAGGTGGAGGTTTGACCTGCAGATTCCGGCCGACAACTTAGGTCAAACATCCAGCTTCATTCTCTGCCAGCAACCTGCACATGGCGCCTCTGCCGCTGTAGGTGGATGTTTGACCACAGCTGTCGACCAGAATCTGAAGGCGGAGGCGATACGTGCAGGTTGCTGGCAGAGGCTGGAGGTGGAGGTTTGACCACAGCTGTCGACCAGAATCTGCAGGCGGAGGCGGCACGTGCAGGTTGCTGGCAGAGGCTGTAGGTGGAGGTTTAACAAGAGAACAAATGTTTTTTGATGGGAGAGCGCCACCATGAGGACTTTTATAAAACACTTCCTGTTTTGGCTGAGAACTCCTGAAACATGAGGTCTCAAATCACACCTAGTTTCTCATGGATTCCTTCATTAATAATGAATCTGACCAAAACAGAGTTTCTGCAATTTGAAATGGTTAATATTCCATCAGCTGTGTCTTTACTTCACCAGAAAGATGAATGTTGAATCAATTTATACACAGCTTATTCATATTTACAACTATTGGAAAATAAAGACTTGACATGTCTCTGATCATCATTGTGAATTTGTATTTGGTCTCACACTTCACTCACAGCCATCAAATACTGTTCATAAGTTCTTATAAGAGTGTTATAGTAGCTTTCATACAATAGCTAATAACTTACAGTGCTGTCACTTTACTTAAAACTCATAAAGTTATGCTATAAGGTGTTATTGATGTTTGTAACACATTATTGCATTTCAGAAACAGAAATGATAATCTGTTCTGACACGTTGGAGCAGTTCTCTATGTGTCTGAATAACTGAATAAAGTTATGGTAGTTATAATGTGCTGTGTAACACAGGACTCATATTATTCTTTTTGATGTGTTCTCATTATTACTACGAATATTAACAATATTATTGCGATTATCGTCATCAAAAACTTGTAAACAATCATCTACAACTTCCCCAACACTGACAAACTCCCATCTGCCCATAAACCATTATATGCATAATTTGTTGACAAGGCATTGATAAGCAGAAGGAAAGAAACACACAGACACACACACACACCGTTGTCACTTTGACATGCGTCATGAACGCTGAACTTATAAAACATTTCCACAATGTTTTATTCTTTATAACCTTAAGAAGAGTTTTATGAAGCCTTATGAATTTCAAACAAAGAAACAACTCAATCTCATCAAACTTGTGCTGCTGCTGGAACTCTTCTGTGGCTGAAGGAGACACACACACACCTGTTCACTTCATCAATCTCTATTTATTTACGTTTCCACACGTGTCTTCTTCAGGGGGAGCAAGAACACTTCTTCTTCTTCGTCTTTGGGGTTTTATGGCATCAATTACGTGGCATTGCTGCCACCTCCTGGATCTAGATCAATACTGTGCTATCTGCGTACCACAACCTTTTTTATTAAATCAGTGTTATCTTCACACTACCAGTGAGCACTAAACAATAAGAGTCTCTGTTTACTGCTGGAACACGCCCCCAGGACATCATGAGAGCGCTCTCATGATGTCCTGGGAGCTTCTTGTTGGCAGCACACAGTCTATAGTTCCATATTTACGTTTTATATGAAACATTAAATGCGTTGAAATCGCGTCATGTAGACCACATATCACCAGCCAGCGTAATATGATTTTGGAGAAATACGTTTAAAGTAATCAAACTCGCGTCTCTTTCAACCTACAACTTAACAAACCATCAATATTTTAAAAGAAATTGGTGTTTTGTGACAAGTTGATATTGTAACCGTAATTTAGCCGGTTGAAAAGACGGTGAAAATAGGTCTAAGACGTTCAGACCTCATTTCAACGTGTTTTCAACCAGAAATCAACGTTGAAATCCGGGTTAGTGCTCACTGGGTAACTTCAGTATTTCATATTACTGACATTAACACTTTTCTATAATCTCTGATTGTCAGTATGATCTCATGATTTTTCTGTGATCAAATTGAGTAAGTTTTTTGATTCTGATTCCATATTTTAATTTCATCATACGTTCTATTGTCAGCTTACAATGTATATGTTATAAGTTATTATTCGATATTTATGTATTCATTGATTCTTGTTTCCTGTTCATGGTTTTATTTTGTATTATTGTTGAAAACAAGGTTTATGAATGAGTCTTACCTTGTGTTCGTGGACCTAAACAGCCATTTCTGTCCCCGTTGATATATGAATTGATTTGGTCACACTACACTGCATGACAATGACGTTATTGAATATGTTTGTACTGTCTTTCAGCGTTGCACTTTGTAGGTCCTTTTCCTCATGACATCATCTTTCCTCTTAATAACATCATTCCTCAGATCTTTCCTCTTAATAACGAGATCTTTCCTCATATCTTCCCTCATAATAACATCATTCCATAATCATGAGATGATTCCTCACAATCTTTCCTCTAAATAACCCAGCTGCCTCCTGCGACCCAGCTATGGTTCCCGACCCAGTCTTTGGGAATCACTGCTGTAAACTTCTATTGATCTGCAAACACTTTTCCCTCCACAACAAGCAGTAGTGTATGAATATTAAAGCAAAGAGCAAACTTTGATCCCAGTGAAAACATCCGCCGACATGTAGAATCCACTGGTCTGCATTAGGAGGCCCGACTACAAGCTCTGATAGCTTTACTTTATGAAGAGGAAGCAGCAGAATCACCGTCAGAAGTTCTGATACCAGACAGAGACAAACATGTAATATATTGTGTCACAGCATTGGTGTCATCACTGGAATCAATTGGTTATATTTGTTGCCAGCGGCACAGAACCACCAGAGCACCGTTTAAGTAAGTTATATATGTATGTAAATATATATAAATCCATTTGAATGTTTCAGCTGATAAGTGTTACAAACCATTTCAGAGGAGCGCCCAAAAGCTCAGTTCAAGAGGACACGGACAGAGAGCTACTCGACTCCATTAAAGCATTCATGTCGTGTTATCTGTCATTGGAGATGAAACAGATAGAAATATTGCTCCCCTCACACTCCTGATGGTGTAGCTTTAAGAAGCTTCATTTTAACTGGAAAAGTTCATTGGCACTCCTTGAACTGTATCTCTGCTGCTCCTGCTACATCTGGAGGAACATGTTTGTGAGCAGATGACGATGACGACGTCAGTCCTCGATGTCGGGCAGCGAGGTCACAGGAACCCGGCGGAAGAAGAAGCTGGATCCTCTGAAGAGGTGACCCTGACAGGAGGGGACACATACCGGCTGTAAATGCTTTGGATTACCTACTACTGACATCTTCAGTACACAATAAGAGTATCAGCCTTTAAAAGACCTGCTCAGACTAAAGGCTGTGTGTGGATGTAGAGGTTCTGAGCTAGAGGTCAACCCATTTAGCCAAATAACCGGTGCAGACAGGACCTCGGCAGGAGTATTCATGTCATATCTGACCGCTGTTCAGTCTTAATTCTCCCCAGAAAAGTTGTCTCTTGAATATATAAAGCAACACTATCAGCTTTTTGTCCCCGATACAAGACAAAGCTAATCCTTCACATGTAACTTTAACTCACTCCTACCTTTGTGTGCAGCAAGCCGGAGTGCAAACACCTTTTCTTTCACCGCATTGAAAATGCTTTTAAGAGCTAGGCGCCAACAAATATGGATTGAAGTAATCGATTTTGTTCGAACGTGTGAATTTTGGAAATGATTACCTCGATATTTTTTCAATACATTTTGACTTTTAGACTTTACAAGCTCTGGAGTTATTGGAAATGTTTGGATCACACGAGTTGGACACAATCCTAGGCAGCCACCACTGGACCAGTGCATCGCCCGCTGTAAATAAATAGAACATATTCCAATCAAATCACACTTCAGGAGATTCTCTTACGAAGGATTTAAATTCAGAGTGACAAAACTGGATTATTAAAAATGCCGAATGCAAAAGTAGCCTCACGTCATAAACAGACTGACGTCCCAGAGATAAATTCACTTCTAAAAAATAACTGTTATTTTCATGGTTATTTTAATGTTCAGGTCCAGATTCATATAGGCTATTTATTTAGCTATTTATTATTTACGACAGTGGTTTCCTGATCCAAACTATCAATATTATATCGGCCTTTACCAATCGGCCGACCTCTATTCTAAACCTTTTTGTTTCAGATGTTTAAACGAAGCACAGCCCTGAACTTTACTGTAAAAACACTGAACATATTCGAACAGGATCTAAAAGGATTTAAAGATGTACCTCTGTGTGTGAATGCTACATTTCAATGACTCATTATGAAAACACATAATAGATACATAACTTAACGGAGTATATTTGGGATTTGCACCGTATTGATATTTGATATGAAATCTTTGCACTCCTTCCTGTACACAACCACCTCCCTTGGGATAAATAAACTACAGCTACGAGGATCTGTTTGTGTCATTGTGATGTCACTGCATTTGCTAGACTGTACTTTGTTGCTCAGGTGATTCCAGCAGTGTAGCCAGGACATGAAGATGGGGGAGCGAGGAGGAAGACCTGCCACCAGGCTGACAACACAAAGCACAAGCAGTCAGACAGATACAGTACGAGTACAAAGCCTGAGACGCGGTCAAACTGAAGGAGATTCACTCTCAATATACTTGTATCAACTTGTTTATTTGCAGAACATGAACCGCCTTTACTTCACTACTCCACCTGTTTTTCTCAGGTATGAGCTAACAGACGAAATGAACTGACTGCATGCTGGAGAGTAAGATACGGAAGCCCTGAGGGCCAATTGATCGCACTCGTTTTCTCTCCTGTTTATGACTTAAGAACAGGTGAAATATGGTTTTGCAAGGATAATCTTTTTAAGTTAAAAATGAATCTGCGAAACAGGTAAAGAAAAGTTTTTGCAGATGTTTTTTTAATTTTTTTTTATTGTCAGCATGAAGCGTTGAGGCTAAAGTGCACCACTACCCCATGTTCTAAATAGGACTAAAGGCTTTCATACAGGGGAGTTTATACACATTTATATATTGTGTGTTAACAACATATGTACCATTACTGTCATGTCTTTCTTTTGGCTAAAAATGTATTTTAATCAGCGCTAATCTTACTTTCACAATAAATATGACAACAAACAGTTGATCGTGACAGAGAAATATTCACTTAGAAACACGTTTAATTAAAAAATAGATGATCCTGAGAAAACATTTATTTGACCTGTTCTTAAGACACAGGAGAAGAAAGTCACTCAGATCAGACTCAGGGATGCTTTCAGGACTTCCGTAGTGAAAGGTCCATCTGGTCCCCGAGTATGAATGTGTGAATGCAATGTTTGAAAGAATGACTCACCCACAGTTGTTGACTGCCATGAGATCAGCCACCAGCATGAACGGATATGTTAGAACACTCACTGCAATCTAGAGGAGAACACGCTCCATGAACATGAAGAAACGTTGCATATGAGAAACATTTCAAACAGTTTGAATGTTGAACTTACGCCCATCACAAACTTAGTGTAGCTCCTTATGGCTGAGACCTGACTGAACTGCAACAGAAGTACAAGCAGAGAGGTGAAACAGCACTTCCTTTAGTTTGCATGCATGAAATAAAAAGATACATCTATAATAGTTGTAGAGCTGAGTAACAACTTTACAACATTTTCACTGCGGTGAAAGAGGAGTAAGTTAAAGCAACAGTTGTATATGCGTTATATATGAACTGCAAACGGGTCGGATGGGACACGAGTACATCTCGTCTGCTGACTGGGACCACAGAGGTTCAGCCCATATCTTCTAACCCTATGGTTGTAAAAGGTTAAAAACTATATCAGCTTCTTTATACACTCATTTGTATCAGTAAGAATGAGAGAGTAAACACATAGCAGCAGCTTGTTTTCTTGCAGCATCAGAGAAGGTGATGGACTTACACTCTCGTCCACAGCGTAGGTGTTGATGAAGTGAGCCAGGAGGTTACAGCACCACAGGAAGAGCAGCTCTCCCACCACGTGGGGAACGACACCACTGCCAACACACAACACGGCTCAGCCCGGTGCAGGTCAAAGTGTAGAACACATTTTAGTGATGAACAGCGACGTTATGACTCACACATAGAATCCAGCCACTCCTTCCTCCTGAAAAATCTTGACCATGCAACTGAACATCCCACTGCAAATGTGACACAAAGTCCATTAACAGAATGTCTGCAGTGTAAACTCCTACAAGCAAGAAGCTCATGTTCAACGTTTCACAAGCTCTGAAAACTCTCTCTTTTTTTTTTTAAACGGTTACATGTTTTGTCTGAGAGAAGCTGCTTTTTATCCAGTTTAAAGCCACATGTTTATGATGTAACGACACGCTCACTGCATATCAGAGCTGGGTTACTTCCTGTTAATGCACATTACACGGAGGGACTTGTATTTATCAGAGGTTACTCTACGAGGTCACTGAATATTCAAGGATCATATATTTCATGAATAACCTCATGGTTGCTTACTTAGTCATGAGAATTGATTAAAATAAAGCATTGAGGCATATCTGCAGCATTGTATGAAGTCTTACCCGTACTTGACCTCTCTGCCAACAAACTGGGCCATACACCGCACTGACATCACTGCCAAAGGAAAGCAGAACAGATGATGAGCCCAACAAGCCATTTCCTACTTGGTTCCATTCCATTCAGCCAGTATGCGACATCAGCTGTAAGGGGACTGACAACATGGCATTTACTGAAGGCCGCTTAAAATGGACGGATGGTCAAATCATTTCAGAACGATAAAGAGAAGAAGCAGAACCTTCTGCAATGTGTTACTGTTAAAGTGGATGTGTTTGCTGCAGACAGCCTTAATGAGGACGTACCATGAAGAGGATGAGTGGCTACTCTGGACAGGCACTGGATGATCATCTCATGCGAGGTCTGGAGAGAGGAGACAGTTTGAAGAGACGGTGATATAATAATATATACGTTTTTTTGGTACATTGATTAAAAACATTGTTTTCAACAAAACTATTTTTCATTTGAAAACAGAAGCCAAAGAACTTAAATTGTGAACGTTAATAAAGATTAATAAGCTGTGACCGTCTAATGTCAGCTTCCCCAACCGTCGGCTCAAAGAATGACAAAATAGAACACGTGATCAACTAAAGTCAACTTCTGCCGCTGCACTTTTCCAGACTCTGTCTGTCTTGAACCGTGATGCGTTACATGTTGGAGAGCTCCTCAAATAGATGCATCTCATAACGGAACAGTGAAAGTCACTGCAAGCAGCTGTTAGCTGGCTATGAAACAGCCTGTTTAACAATGAGCTGCAGGAGTAAACAAGGATCATCACTTGTATCTACATAGTTATTCTTAATGTCTGACGATTTACCGCGACATATGACGACGCGATTTTTGCCACACAGGTTCACCAGAAACAGCTCAGCCTCCCTCCAGCAATACGGCTGGAGGGAGGCTGAGCTGAGGCATGGGAGAACCAGAACCAGGACTGAGAGGAGCAGACCCTGCTGCAGTAAAACAAGTTTTCTTAAAGAGAATCTGGTGCTGGGAAACACTACCGCGACATACCAAGATCTCCAACAGAAAGTACGAGGCACTTGAGTTAGACTCTGATTTAAATAAGTCGGGATGTTACTCAGGAGTAGCTGACCTCTCACCTCTTTGACCACTTTCCTGAGGGAAGTCTGCAGGTCCTCTCTCTTGGAAAGAATCTCCACCTGCTGAAGAAAGAAGTGACATCACTCGACAATATCCACATCTTTAAATGCTTTCAAACAACCTTTTTACCCAAAGACATCTCTCTTATGACCGACGTAATGGACCCAATTCAAGATCCACTCATATGAGCCCATTCGGTCTTGAGAGAGTTGTTTGACTTCAGAAACAAATACCTTGATTCTGAATGGTTCTGACGTTAAATAAATATGAAATAAAACTGTAACATGACACTGTTCAATAAAGTAAATAACAATCCTTTTTGTTATAACATTCCCTCCTTTTTTCTCCAGCGGTGCTTTTGACCTGTGATGGAAGAACGCTAACAGAAAGGGGGAACTTCACAGTAAGAAGACTCAGATACGGAGTGTAGACGCTAGAACCAGGACTGTGTTTGTATGAACTGATCTGTGCTGATTATCCTCTCATTGTATTGAGAAGCACTGTGGAGACATTTGAACTATAGTTTTACCAAATGATGGAGAGACTGTATCATGCAGATGATGATTAAAGGTGATGAGGTCATGATATCCAGCTGTGTGTGATGACAGCTGCTCTGTGCCGTTGTGGAACCTCACAGACATTTGAGTAATATTTGCGTTCTGTGTGAGTCAAGTACACATGAAAAAAAACTGTTCAACATAAATATTTTGCTGAGCAAGTTTATTTTTTTTTTTTATAGATAGATATATATAGATATATAGATAGATACAGTACAATCCAATCAGAATTTTATCTTTTCAAAAGCACAGCAGCCTTCATGTCAGACAGTGTACCTGTTTAACTTTGCTCCTGACCACAGTGGAGATGGCGCTGGACACGATGCGAGGCGACAGGCCGCGGAAGAGCCCTCTCTTTCCGTCCACCGTCACGATGTGCTGCGCTGGAAGCACAATTTACATTTACCGTCAGCTGCTGTCAACTTGTCTGACGGCGAGCGATACGACATCGACTACTCCGGCATCACTCGCTCACCGTAGGAGAAGAAGCCGGGCAGGTACAGGACTCTTCGTCCGAACATAGTGGTGCCCACCGTTGAGGGGAGCGGTTCATGTCCCACCTGAAACAACAGAGCCGGAGATTAAACACAAGCCACAAGGGTGACGCTGACCCAAAACACCACGGCCCGTCATTAAGCCGGTTCTATTTAAAAGTTAAAAAAACTCATTCATGTGCAATATCAGTATCAATAATGTATGTATGAGCAATATTTCCTACCTCATATGTGCAATAATGTGTATCTGATAATATTGTAATTTTAGCTTTTTTTTATTTTTTATGATTTACTTATTTATTATACCTTTACTGTTTGATTATGTATTGTACTTTTGTTGTATCGTTTCCGGCTGATGTCTCTTGTTGCACTGTCCACGTTGCTGCTGTATTCCTGCAGAATGTCCCCACTGTGGGACTAATAAAGGATGATCATATTCTATCTTAATCTGTGATGAGGTCGGGCTTTTTCTCAAACAAAAACAGGGTTTTCCCAAATCCGTATCCTGCCTGTCAACAACCGTCTGTCCTCTAATCAATCATTTTAGATGCTGATCACACAGCACAGGTATCACACCAGCCTGCAGGATTTCTGTCAGATGACGTTGTGATCATAAAGTCATGATATTAATCAGGGCAGCCTAGCAGCTTGGAAATGATGGTTAACAGACTCCAGGAGGGACAATTTCACAAGTTTGCTAACTAAAAAAAAAAAAGATGTGTGCCGGTACCAGAGTACACCATGTTGTCCTCTTCCTATTGGATGAACATACGCTCATACTATCTCGCTGTGAATTGGCTGAGAGACATGACCGACTATACATTTGACCCTGACAAATCAATAGCTCGCCCGTCTTTCACAACTTGTGTGAAGCACAGAAACGATCAGGGAGGTTTTCGGGGGCCGGCTCCCACTGACAGCTGCAGGGTCTTGCACTAGAGTGCTCTGTGCTCCAATTGGTCAGCGAGAAATTCTGGCACCTTAGTGTTTATCAGGATGCTGCGATGCAGCAACAGTTGTCTTCCACTATGACACACCACACAGGATCAGGTGTAGTGCCCGACGGCCCACATCTGTCCTCATTGGGCTGATGTGGGCATATACATTAGCTACATTGTGTCAAAGTCTATCCACATGCAAAAGGAGCAGCTATGGAGCCAGCCATTACAATTAGACATGTTGTAGTATCTCATGCACTATTTCTCTGTGACACTGTTTTTTTATTCAAACATGGTTAAATGCAGCTTCTTTTCCAACGGGACGAGGGTTCAGAGCACACATTGGGATTCTCAGTCAAAACTGAGGAAATATTTGACATGAGAACAATTATGTAGACTTATGTGAAGAAAATGTGCATTCATGTCTGACAAATTATAAATAAGGGCAAAACTGTGGCTTTCAAACCCCACTGGAGCTCCACAGAGAGGCGGTTCTCTGCTATGAAGGTATATTTGTGTCTTTAACAAAACATGTTTTGACAGCAAAGGTTTTTGATTTGCAGCCAAAAATGATAGTTTCATAAGCAAAACTAACAAATAGTTTATTCTCAGTTTATATATTTTTACTTACAAACTTGATTTTTGATTTCAGTGTGATATATTTACTCTCAAAACATTATTTTTGTTTGCGTAATACAGTCACAAGTATACCTTCATATCTGCCGTACAGCATCTCCTCTTACCGGAAGAACAGCGCAACGCAGCGGGACTCTTCTGCCAGTTTAACGACCGTGGATATAACGAGCAACAAGCCGGTTGTCGTTGGCCGATACATTGATTAAAAAAATGTGCATGGGGACGTGGGGGACATTTGGAGGACTCCATAAACGACACAGCAGTCGACGCGTTGACACAACACAGTCATAAGAGTTGCGGTTAGCTAGCTAACAGCAGCTAACTTACCTGTATTAGCAGCTTCACATACAGCAGCGGATGCGTGAAGGCGGTTACTCCCGCTCCCAGCAGCAGCACCGCGGTGTCCACATCCACGAGGGTCGGTGGAGCATCCTGCTCGACATCGACTGCCTGACCGGACAATTCCATCTTTAATTGCCGTCCGTAGAGGAGGGAGACGGCTTCATGCTCTGCAGGAGTGCCCCGCCGCGGCTGCAGTCACACTCTGTTGGAGTGGGAGGGCAACTGAAAAAACAATTTCCGCATTGTACTTTCAAAATAATATGCACTGTTTCATAGGTAATTTAGGTAGGGACGAAATACTATTGTAATAAATCATACTCATGTATGAGACAGAGCGCGAGCAAAATAGATGTTTTGTTATGAATATGAGGACTTATTATTGCTAAAAATAATGCCACGTGACAGCTGAACCAAAACACTTGGGCGGAGTCTGGCTCGTGCCATCACATGAACACACGTGCACACCACCTTTTTCTAATCTTGTGCAGACAGAGGACCAATCCCAATCCTCCAATCCTCCCTAAATTGAACGCCTTTTACAGGTTTATTAGGGATTTATAAAAATAGATTGTACGGAGGCAGGCATACGCAATGTTTTATAAATCTGAATATTTGTGTGGCAAACATATAGAGTGGATCCTACGCATTGTTTTATAAATGAGACCCCAGCTATATACATTATTATATTATTACGTTAGGAAAGAGTGGACCAGGAGGTACCAGAGATGCTTTCATAAAACCGACATTTAACAATACTTATCCGACACCATATAAAAAACAGATAATATATGTTGTCATAACTTTCTTCGTCCCACCTACATCCTTCCGGCTATTTCGGACAAGGAGGTTAAAATACTTTTAGAGAGTCATTCCAATTATATTGTTGTGTAGTCTTTTTCATTTCCGTATCTGTAAAATTGAATAGATTATACTTTGTATCTTCTAGGAGGTTCATATGAAACGTACCACATATTTCAAAATATTTGGTATACAAGAAAAAATTTAAGAATAGTCCCAATACATGAGTTTTTATAATTTCTGAGGTCACCAAGGAGTTTTGACATCTGTTCTTTAGACCCAGATGAATGTAAACGAAGCTTTAAAATACATCCAGCAGGTGGTGCTCTTAGCTTTACAATGGCCCTGGGTCCTGTTGTCCTCTCTGTGATCCAGGAACCAGCAGCAGTTGGTGAATAAACAAAGAAAAGAGTATAGTATGACAGTGATGATGGTTATGATAACATAATGATATGAAATAATAAGAGGACGGATCAACTGACATTCATCTGCGTATATTCTTTATACTAAATCTTGTGAACTTTTACTCATTCCCTTGTCATTTTTTAATCTACATTCCAGCACAAAACTGTACAACTCTTTGATTTTAAAACTGATATATTTTATACTTTTTATTGTAAACATTTCTATTCAATATTTATGTTTCTTGTCTTTTGCAGTATTTGCTTTTACTATTTTGTCTCTTACAAATGTTATTGGTCCAAAGCACCAAGGCAAACTCCTTGTATGTAAAAAGCTACTTGGCAATGAACCCGATTCTGAAATACGCTGCGGAGCCCACAGACTTGAGGGTCTACATCCTACTTTTTAACTCTCTGGAGCCAATACGTGCTGCTCAAAGGCCAGGGCGTCCCTGTCCCAGTCTACATCAAGTGAATTTAAAAAAGGAGAAAATAGGATGAAAAAAAAACTTTAAACTCAGACATTACATCGTATAATATTTAAAATAATAATCCACTGTGGTCAAACTCATTAGAACCAGTTATCAAATACCAGAGAAAGTTCAAACAGATTGAGAGTTACACTTAGAGGTCTGAGGCTTGCTTCTTGCTGCACCGAGGGCTTAGATGGACCTGAGCTGATGTGGACTCTCACTCATCTTGTTCCAACTAACAACAGACACATCATTATGAAAAAAATTAATTTAAAAAAAAGATTAGAAACGCAACGCTGATTCCCTTCGACTAGAAGACTAATTTTTCCTTTATGGGAGAAAAGAATCAAAGCTTGAATGGTGGAAATGTCAACGAGACACTTCAATCAGCTTGTCATCTGCAGTCATTGTTTGCATATGGCCATATCGTTCATCGCAAACCGCTGAATACCAGCTCATATGGCCTCTTTTTATCATATGACATCAACGATCTGCTGTCTGGATGAAAGAATATAAGTAGGAGCCCCCTCCCCCCTCCACATGCACACATACACACACACACACACACACACACACATACTCACACACACCCCACAAACGAGTGTGGTTTAGTTGCTGACACTGTGGGTGAGTTGATTTACTGTCATACTGGCAGGTGCTGGTTTCAGCCCACTGACCGTTTGCATTCATGCTGACAGACACAAGCCCTCAGACTGCAGGTGGACACATCGCTTACTTCATACCACAGCTTTCTAAGCAGCGAAGTGCTGCTTGTAAAAACGAGGCTTTGAGAAAGCCTTTCTTTCATGCACCCTGTCCTCATGTATCCTTCCCCAGTCTGACATGAACTATTATACTGTGTCTGGTGTGAATTCAAGTCAAAATAATCGTGATATCTTTTTATTTATATTTTGAAATAAACTATGGATCAAATGGCTAAGTGTGTAATGAGAAAGGAGTCTCTGACGATTAGCAACTTTTCCGTTCTCCTCAGCTCTTTTTTAGCTCATCGTTTTGGTTTTGAGACCCACAACTTTGCTGTTTTGTTCCTTCCTTTCTTAGCTCCTTTAGCAGGATACACTGGACCATCCTTTACCAAACGAAAGAAGGTATTGCCGCCCCACAATTCCTTGCGGCGGCAATATAGTGACGCACTATTGGGCCGTGAAAAAAACCGATATGCGTATCTTGCACAGGTTTAACATGTCATACAGTCATAAACTAATGGTATTCATGTTGATGAATATGAATAGACAGTGACAATCCTTTTGTTTCATTTTATATGTATTTACCATTTATTTACTTCTAACATGTAACAAATAAGTAAAAAAACAAAACAAGAATAGAAAGTCAAATGAACAGTAAATATAACAAACTGTCAATGAACAAATTATCATTCTTAATAATAAGAAGCATCAGTATGAAAAAAAGCTTTGCCTATAATAAATTATTAAACTGTTAAAAAACTAAATATAACCGAACGATTGAATCTATGTTATTGCACAAGGCAATATTTACCAAAGGAGGTCTATATAGTAGATTTCACGGGGCCATATCTTATATTTTATGTTTTTGTACTCTTTCATTGTAGTTTCACCATGGCCTATCAGTGACATCCACCGTCGCATCATAATTACGTAGTTTAGAGAAAGTGGAGTCGGATTCTTTGAGCACCGCGGTTGTCTTTTCCTAACTCCTTGTGAATTCTCCTTCACATCTTTCCTAGACCTCATGACATTTTCAAAAAAGAGTTGAGGTGAGTTGAGGTTGTGCTATAGGAGCAGAGGGATTTTCCGGTAGGTGGCTGGTCGGTGTGCCGACAGAGAAAGCTGAGGGAACGAGCAGACAGGCTACCAGGAACCCCTTGAGCACCAGGGACAAACAAGTATTGATTTGGTTGACAAGCCTACGAGGAAAGAAAACTCCTCTCAAAGAGTGTTAAAGCTGGAGGCCTGAGCGTAGCTACCGCTGTGACTAGAACAATGCTGTGGAGACGAGTCGCGTTAAAATACTGCTGAGGTTGGTGGGGATTGTAGCCAGGTGTGTGGTGAGCCTGGAGAGCTGATTACCAGCAGGCATGCTGGGGCTGGGTCCAGGACGGGAACACACACACACACACACACACACACACACACACACACACACACACACCTACAGTATATGACACCTATATGAACCAATATATCATGTGTGCATGGAGATGCCCAGCCGGTCTGCTGTGCTTGCTTGTTGTGCGTGCCCTATTAAAATAGGGCCACACGAAGAATTCATGCTGAAATATGAACTGTGTTGAACGTCGACTCTTAATTTTTACTGTTGTAGATTGTAAGTCATATTTTATAGGCTTGGTGAATTCCATTACAGAGGTGTGGTTTTATATTCCTCCTCTATCCTGTTAGATATAAGTTTAGATTAAATATATATGCATCATGCTCAGCATAAATTGAAATGATGGAGTCTCTTTTGCGCATTTAAATCTGCAGAGCTGGCTCCGTTTATTTAAAAGCTTTCTTTAATTAATCCCAGGGACATTGTTTTTTCTGTTCTTTGTTATGCATGCACAGCCTGAGTATTTTATTAGCTGGTGGTAATACAGGGTTTGGATGGATCGGTGCACCTGGTGCTCGGGTCAAATTCTGAAAGCAGGCCGACAAATAGTGTAATGGATTAATAATTCCCCTTTGCTTGTCTTCTCTTGTCAAATTGTTGATGTAGTTCTGTGGGTTCGTAACCCCTGATGGTGTCTGTTGTCAGAGGTGAATGAATATGTATAAGTGTTTGCTAATACATTCACCATATACACTAAAAGTGTGATTTATTCTGACCCCAAATGCAGCTTTCATTTAAATTCTTTTTTAAGAATAACTAAATATAAAGACCATTTCAGTCTCATAAGAGGAACCTCGGCAGACTTTGTGATGGTGTCTGCAGTGGAAGAGGTGAGTTTTCAGCCTGCGCCGAAAGATGGGCAGTGACTCTGCTGTCCTGACGTCAGTGGGGAGTTCATTCCACCAGTCTAAACAGGTGTGTCTTGAGCTGATTTTTGAATGAGTTCACAGAAACCGCAAACCGTAGGGGTGCAGGCAGATCATTCCACAGCCTTGGTACTACTGCCTCAAAGGCTCGGTCACCATGGGTCTTAAGGCGAGTGTGTGGGACAGACAGATCATTTAACATGTTTGACTTGAGAGCGCGGGCGGGTGAATATGGGTGAAGTAGTTCAGCCACATATGTAGGAGTCTGACCGTGTAGTGCTCTGTAAGTGAGGGTGAGATTTTTAAAGTGGATCCTAAATGCTACAGGGAGCCAGTGAAGAGATCACTGTGAAGAGATCAATGTGAAGAGATCACGGTGATGTGAGACCGTCTATTTGTCCTGGTAAGTAATCTGGCGGCAGCATTTTGGATGACCTGCAAACGGCTGAGAGCAGATACACTGAGTGATGAGAAAAGTGTGTTACAGTAGTCAATGAATGAAGAGATGAAGGCGTGTATAATCATCTCTAGTACTTACTGATATTTATTAGGTGGAAGAAACAT